CGATTGAATGGCTCCAGTTCACTGCCCATGCTGAACAAATCACAGTCAGAGATGCTACATGGCTATAGAGATGGGGGCCCCCATGAAATGTTACCTTTATATTCTCTGTACATAAACATGAACCTAGTGATACAAAGAGTACATGTAGGCAGTGAAGTGATTGCTGTTATTGTATGTATCGTGAGTCCTTTTTTAGCGACACCGATGCTTTTGTTTGGAATTCATGAATGTGTCCCGAACACAGCAGGGTTTGCATTTTTCAATTTCAAAAGTGGAATTTTTGAATATTTTGTTAATGGAATTAAAAGATAAGTCATGCTACATGTACCTTAACCTCTGTACATAATTCTAGTAATGCATGAACACCTACATGTAGTAGTGGAGTTGTTCTTGTCTCGTCGTGTATATCAGAGTCTTTTTCAGTGAGACAGATGCTTCTCGTAGAATTTCATGAATGAGTCACATTGAAATCTACAGTAGATGTAAACATATCCTTGAATTACCGGTAGTTTTATTATCATTATTATTTAAAAAAAATCTATTTCCCCCATAAATTTAAATACTAACATGTTGGTGATCTTCCTATCTTGGATGCAGCACTGGCATACATGTAAATCCAAATAGTAATGAGGAGAGGGGGGGGGGGGGGGTGTACAGTGTGAGTGGGCTGTCTAGCCCCCACAATTCAGAGGTGGGCGTTGGAAATGCATGTACAGTATTCATTTTTTTGTTTCCTAGCAATCAGAGTCATGTCTTGCTATTCAAAGAGATTTGAAAAAAAAGGAATTTATTTATTTCTACATGTAGGTATGGAAAGGAAAGGGGAGAAGGAGGGGGAGGAGGAGGGGGAGGGGGAGGGGGTCATGTACTTGCTCTGCCCTATGCTGGATATGGTGCTGTGATTATGAGTCATATTCATGGTACATGTGTCATGTGAATAGCATGCATGATGTATAATCATGTGCAGTGTACAACATCTTCCCATCCTGCTTCTTTAATGAATATTATATTACTTTGAATTTCCAAAATGTATTCCTGCAGAAGGCCGTTTGGAAGGGAGAATTATCATCCCACGGCTGCGCAGTTTCCAAGTTTTCATTGCTCACATATTATTGCTTTGATTCAATTTAGAGACAATCTGAATGACTATACAGTACTTGATAGATCTTAATGAGTGCTAGCAAATTGGGTAGACTCTCTGACTCGAATGAGTATTGCATAAATCACATATTCCAAATGTATGTGAAAATATATAAACACCAACAAAACGCCAGATGTATACATACATGTAAGTGTACTGTACATTATCATTGCAATACTGTGATTCATAAATGCATGGGGACTTTTTAATTATTAGGTGCTATATTATTGTTGTTGTTACTATTTCTATTATTATTTTTATTACATAATAAATATTTTTACAATAATAATAATAATAATATTTAATTTTTATATAACGCTTAATACAAATGTCTCTATTAAAGCGCTTTACAAATATACCATTACCATCATCATCACCATCATCATCATTATCATCATCATCATCATCATCATCATCATTATTATATAGCTGCATGTAGCAAGTATGCATTGCCTATCTTCAGTACATGTACACTGTATGACTTGAACCTTCTTTACTTTGTAAGAAGCACTTCAAAGATTAGGCGGAAAGAAATTAAATGAGAAAGTGTCGTCTTGAGATGCAGCCCTTGAATACTCTCTAGGTGATTGGCCTTTCAGTCAATATCTGAGTTTGTGTGCTGGTTGTTTACTTTGCTACATGTACATGTATAAAGCACTGCATGCGTATACATTATTTTCTTTATTTCCTGACAGTATTGAAAAATTACATACATGTACTGTAGAAGTACAAGAATATGCATTTCATAAGTAAAGAAATGAGTAAATAGAAAATGAAAGTATTTTCTGAAGATGTTCTAAACTAGTGATCTGATTTTGTTATTGCAATCAAATTTTGAGGTGAGTCATTTGAATAAAACTACTTGATATTTTGAGTGGGGCTGTACATGTATTCTTGTTTAAGGCTCTACATGTAGATATAAAATAATGGTGCATTCCAATCTCACCTCCACCCCTAGAAATATGATTCAGTGGCTTCCTAAATATGAAAGCAAATCAAAACAATCATTAATTGCACCCTCCTTGTGTGCAAAGTTAAAGAGAAATTATGCCCTGGGCCCGTTGCATAAAACTTACCATCGATGGTATCTTTGCCATCAATGGCAACTACCATGTTAACAGGGCTCAACAGCCAATCAAAATCAAGGTTTCCATGGTAATTACCATTGATGGCAAAGTTATCATCAATGATAAGTTTTGTGCAACAGGGCCCAGGTTTATCTTTGTTAGATGTGAAAGCATTACATAAATTTGCAAGTTATTGTCCTTTTGAAAACTAAATTTTAATTTAATGGAAAATCGTTTGATCCCAACTAAAGTAGATTCCTACATCAATACATATAGAGTACATGTTTCTCTACTCTTTAATGTACAGTGTATGTGTAAGATGTGATGGCCTTCAAATTAAGACCATTAAATTTGTAATTATAATAATTTGGTGATTTACATGTACATGTATATTATGCAGTTTTAGATGGCAAGGAGACCTTGTAAATGATTAGTAATCTGTATTTATAAAGGTCACTTGTCCACAATCATAATTCTATTTTTTTCTTCTAATAATTGCCTTTACACATGAGGTACGGGCATTATATTCACTGTATGAAATTAAGCCAATGACCATAGACTACTCTACATGCGGAGCTAATCATCCCGAATTAATATGCAGCTGTAACATGAGAGGTCATGTATTGTATACCATGGATAATGTCAAGACTGGGGCCATGCAGCCAATTGGTTCAGTAATAGCTCAATTATCATGTCACCATTTCCATTTTGGACATATGGAAAAGAAATCTCCATTTTGAAAGATCGTTGAGGAATTGATTCATAGTTGTAAGTTATTTGATTTGATGGAATGGAATCTTTACCTCTACAGGGTGTAGTCTCAACATCTGTAGTAATATTTGTTTAACCTGTTTATTGATGTTCTTCATCAAGGATTCACTATCAATATTTTTTTAAATCATCAAACTTGGCCTGTGAATACATTTACATTACTTTCCCATGTACAGTGTACATGTATATAAAAATCAATATAAATACATGTATAAATTTCATTATTTAAGTACAATTTGAAGGCATATCTTGTACATTGTATATTCATAGCTTTTCTCAATATGACGGTGCAAAATTAGATCTGCATTAGAGCCTTGTGTCCATGAATGTAATACTCTAAACAAAAAATAGAGACTTCTTTTAGATTTCCTATTTCAAATTAATTTTTCATGTTTATTATTATAATATACACTACTCCTGCAAATTTTTGTAGCTGTTTTGTAATGAACATGAAAATCGAAAGTTGCTTTATATAAACATTTTTCTAGAATAGCTACTAATAACACACTCATAATAGCAATTTTTGCACCACTAAAAAGTAATGTTTGGAGCAAGAAGGGCATTAAATCAAATAATTAAGCACAGAGAGTCGGTGTCTTTCTACCCCTGAACAGACAATAAACCATGCCTACAGTACACTGTTATTAGGGCATTCTGTCATGAGAGAAAATAAATGACAAACAGCCATCAGCATCTGTCCCTTTAAGATCAGAGACAAGCACGAGCAGGTTGTTTGTTACATTAGATCGTCTCAGTCATATGTCACTGGGGAAGAGATAGATGGGTGCTAGCTTGCAGGTGTGCATCCCTGCATTTGACTGATAGCTTTATCAGGCCTAGAGGACATGTGCATGTAAAGGTTGTCCGTATATACCCATTTAGGCCATGTCCTTACGTGGATGTGAGTATACATGTATAGGGCTGTTTTTAATGCATATCGTTAATACATGTACATGTATGCACCACACACTCTGTTGTAGAGATTAAAAGTATCTTCTTGAATTTTTTTTCTTTCTTCGGAGGGATGTGTGTGTAGTATGATTTTCTTGCATTAGAACATATGGGGCTGTTTTTAATGCATACAGGGTATATCTGTAATTCATGCAGACTCTGATCTAGAGATTTAAAGAGAAAGTTGAGTTCTGGGAAGAGGTGAAAAATAATTTGTGAGCGTTATCATTCTTATTATGCAAGTGTGGAAGAACATCAGATAAGACATGTTCCCTGAAAAGCATGTCTCTTCAAATCTCTTCATGTTCCAAATATGTCAATAACATCGTAAAACTTGGGGGGGGGGGGTGGGATTTTTACGCCACGTGTTCGTGTAGTCCCATATACATCTTTCTGTGTACAGTGTTTGTAACTTTACCAAGACTTGGCCAAATTTCTAATCATTTTGATGATTCCAGAACCTTGTAATACACACAAATTCTTATATGCTAAATCATCAACCTTTTCTGGTCGATTCCACACTGTTTCTTTCACAATGCAATCGCATAACCAGAACTCAACTTTATCTTTAAAGTATTTTTTGGATTTTGTAATTTTTTATAGAGGGATGTGTTTTATGATCTCTTTTACATGCACATCAGTTTTATACTTGCACAATGCACATACACTGTACATGTATATACATGTATATAAATATAACCTTGTCTGCATGCAAGTATGAAATACATGTATAGACATGAATTTGAAGGCTATTTTGGTTGTATAATGTCAATGAAATAGTGACCTTATTGTAAACAGCTAATAGATGTTGACTTCTGTGTAATTGACTTAGATTAAAGAAATTTAATAAACCTCCTCTTCACGGAAGAAAATGACGTAACCATGGTAAACACACGTAACAAACAGGCCATCAAAATGTACAGTACGAAGATCAGACACAATAAAACAAATTGTTCTGTTATTTTATAGATTCATATGCACCCTTTGTTATTTCCAATGCTCTTTTCATTTTATTGCATTTTAGTCAGCAAATCTTTTAAATTTTATTGTTTTTATGATGCATTTTGCAGGTAGCAAGAGTCACGATCTGTCATTCACCGAGAAGTTAACTGCAGCAATCATCAACAATATACAGGTAAAGACAATGAAAAGAGACATAACGCCATTTGAAAAAAAAAATGATTTGGTAATGTGTTGCCTTCTGCTTGGCTGTTAGTAAATGATTGACTGAAAAGTTGAATGGAAAGTTATTGTTTAAAAGCACCACACCGATGTGTTTATTATTAATTATTTTAATGCTAAACTACGGAATTGTGTTCAAAGTTCATGTTTTCTGATATTTTTATTATGAAGTATGTATAATAGCATTTACTTTGTCACTCAGGGAAAAAAATAGTACACTCAAGTTGAAGGGTCTGGTTCCATCGTGTACAACGTTATGCAGTTCATGGTTATATTAAAGTTGATTGTAAAGCCAAAACAATTAGTAGATGTATAGAACATGCAGTGAAATATCATTCCTTAAATTAATACAATTGTTGCAAAATAGAAGACACATGTAACTATCAAAGAGACTAGTTTCTTTTTAAAGGGATTTTTGTTCTCGTTTGTTAAGTGCCGCAATGGCAGCACACCTAAAGGTAAAGGGTAATAATCTCTCAAGTTTGGAAGCGCTTAGTGATTCTAATAAGCGATATATAAAAACTGAGTATTATCATTATTATTATTATAATACAAGATGTACATGTACATGATAATAATACATCCATTTATATAGTGTGCACAGCTACTATATGAATATACTCTACTGCGTTTGTTATATGTTTACTTCAAGAAAAATGAGTAAGTTAGCTAGTGTCTTTTCTCTATCTTACAACTCTCTTTAATACTCTCCCCCTCCCTCTCCAGCCCCCTCTTTCATTCTCTGTCTTTCTCCCCTATCTCTCGCTTCTCCCATTCTATCAAATTGTATGCTGCAATCCATTCTGACTATCTATTAGAATAATTGCCGCGATCCAATTTGCAGTTGATGATAGTTGATAGATATCGTCACTCTATGCTTCGTGATTAATAATGTATCAAATGAATCTGCTTATAAATTGCATGATTTCTTTTGCGCTAAATCTGTTTATGAATAGACAACAAAATATAATGTATACTACAAGCCTTGCATATATTACAGTGTAGTAATACATCTATATACAAGGAGACAGTAGAGAGAACAGAATAAGGGGAGGATGGAGAAGGGATGAAGAAGATGGCTATTAGACTCTGTGGTTATTGATAATAATAATAATAATAATAATATTGGCATTTATATAGCCCTCTTACAGACATACTGTACATGTGTATCACAGCACTTTACAACATATTATTATTACCCCGGTCATCGGATTCAGGCTTACCCGCACACAAGGTATGCACATTCTCCACTCCCTGGGGAGCATTCCAGCCAGTCGCCATTTTACAAGCGCCACTTGCTAATCAAACCACATTAGCTTTCGCATCCTACCGGGTACCCATTTAACACCTGGGTGGAGAGTGGCAAATGTAGATCAATGTCTTGCCAAAGGACATTAGTGCCGCGGCGGGACTTGAACCGCGGACCTTGTGATCCACAGTCCGGTGACTTATCCACTCGATGATGATGATGATGATGATGATGATGATGATGATGATGATGATGATGATGATAGTGATGGCAATGATGATGATGATGATGATAATGATGATGATAAAGATAATAATAATAAATGACAGGAAGAAAACTGTACAGTTTGACAGATGGACTGATGTTCAAAAGATAATAAAAGCAACATGCAAAAGAAGTAGAGATCTGCTACATATTGTACATATAGCAGAAAATGATATGATTTATGGGGAAAGGCGTCCTTTGAGCCATCAATGCATGAAAATAATATGTAAAGTGCGGCTTAAATGTCATCCTGCATTAAACTAAAGCTGTATTACCACTCCAGATGTGTGAAACCACATGATTAGCATCATATTACATGTATATGTATGTGCTGGTAGAGATCAGCAGCTGCTTTTCAACCGTGAAATGAAAATTCATTGTGCCTGTTTTTTTAGAAAACAAGATATAAAACCAGTATGACTTTTGTTTGTTTCATTTTACAATATATTATATAAATTATGCAAGATGTGTCAAACATTTATTTAAAAATGGCTGATACTTGTACCCGTAGGTCTAATATGATTTTATTCTGGCTTTTTCATGAGAAATGTGTAAAAAATTGTCAGAAAAAATGGCTAATAAATAAAAGTAATTTGATCAGCTGGCAAATATATTCCTCTATCTATTTTTTTCTTTTAGTTTCTCTCTCCCTCTCTCCCACTCACCCTCTCTCCCACTCACTTTCTCTCCCGCTTTCTCTCAGCCAGCCAGCCATACTGAATGACCAAATTGACATCTGACATTTGGCATAGAGGCAGAGCTCACCTTAACTCATGAATTATTCATGAACTATACCATGGATCAACATGTCATGTGATACCCCTGTGAATAGATTGAACATCAACATTTAATTTGAGAATCTCAGAGGGCAGAGGGAGAGACAAGATTAGGTGTATTATGCATTGTAGTCCATGCTGGGGCTAAACCATATTGTGTTTCTGACTTTTAAAGACACCAGTTAAAATTTCTAGTGAAAATGAACAGGGTTAAGCTACATGTTTGCATGTTGAAAATTAAATGATAGACATGTATACTTTAAGAAGACCTTTGGAGTGTTCTAGTATTAAATGTGCATGTATTGTTTTCCAAATTACATTAAAACAAATATGACTGTCAATGTCTTCATTATCTGCACTTTCCCATTTGTTTTGTTTTGTTTTGTTTTGTTTTTTTCATGTTTAATTTACAAACCATAACATTTTTAGAGAGGTATTTTCAAGATGAAAGAAATATTTCATAAAATGGGATATTATTGGCTTTCAGATTGATGAGTGGATTATTTTAGGTTGATCAGTTACATGTACCTAAATATTTTCTTGAAACTCATTCCATGTTTGAAACTTCTCTGAATTCAGGATTTATTCTGTAATTCATATTGTGAAGTAGGTTCTTTGGTTTCATCGAATATCAACCAAAAATTTACAAATAAACTCATATTTTATCATGGATGTCATTGTTTCCACACCCAAATTGCATTTCATTATTTGGCTAATATGTGCCTTGGAAAGATTGTGTTAAGATATGGTTTATATTCATAGAATAAATAAACAATCTAACCATATGGTTGTAAAAAGTGCATGTAATATTGAATAATAAAAGTAGATTAGCATTTCAAACCACAAACCAAAGCGAAGCATGATGTACATGTATTGTACTTTTCTGCTGGTACTGTGTATAAAGTACTTGATATAAACCAGCCAGCATAATCAATAGAACGATTGCTGTCAAGCATTTTTTCTAACCCTCTATTTCATCATATTGATTTCAAGGGCTCTTCAATAACCATCATAAGATATTCCTGGGGGATGTTTCATAAAGTTGTTTGTAAAGTTCGCATGACTTTACGAATGACTTGTATATGAAGTGCCAGATAGGATGCCCAAAGTTTTTTCTGATATTTTCAATAACCTCAATTAAATTATGGCAAAAAAATATACTTTGCATTAAAAATGTTTGTTATCATAAGAATGTTAATCTACATCTGCACAGTTCAACTTTAGTTGATGTATTTGATAATGATTGAGCATCCCAGTTGGCTTTTCATATACAAGTCGTTCGTAAAGTCATGCGTAACTTTACGAACAGCTTTATGAAACACCCCCCTGTACATGCATCATAGACACATTAACAACAAATATTTATGTCCTTTGTAAATAAACCATTGTATAAACTGTGTGATGGGGGCAGTAATACAGTTTGATTATGATTTAGTTTATTATGTTTTTTATGGGTAATTCATTCATCTTTCTCTTTTTGTTTTGTTTTTGTCTGTCCTATGGTTAAACTAATACAAAAGATACAAATGTCTCTTCTTGATATACAATGTACAATGTACACTTCTGATCACAGTTATACTGGTTAGCCGCGTAAGACTTTTTTTTTTTTTTAATGTCACATGAAATGAAATGAACAAGTAATTCTGTCTCATAATGACTTGATTATTGGTATTTTCTTTTCATCCTGATTGTATTAGGTCAATGTCTCCAACGTACACATTCGATATGAAGATAATAGTACCTACCCGGGGAAGCCATTCGCCTTTGGTGTTGCATTGCATCGAGTCTCTGCCCAGGTAAACTATACTCATTGATATGTTACATGTATGTAATAATGGAATTAATTATTCTTCTTCTTCTTCTTCTTCTCCTTCTTAATTTGATATTATTAGTATTATTATTGTTATTATTATTATTACGATACTGTTGTTATTGTTATTGTTACTTAATTATTGTTAGTATTAGTAGTAGAAGTAGTAGTAGTATTTCTTTTGCTTTTGTTCTATACATGAAAGCCTACATTTACATAATTCTATATTGCCGAAATTATTGTGCATTGTTTGTAGTAGTGTTTGTGTATTCAATATACACTGTAGTGACTATATTGACTTTTGAGGAGCTTCTTAATTTGATTTCAGGGGAGGATTAGAACATTACATAAGACTTGGTGGTGAAAAGAAAAATATCTAGGCAGCTTACAAATACCATACTGCTCTGCATGAGTAGCATTATTAGAAAGGGCAGAGTGGCTCAAAAGGTAATTCAAGATTATGCGTAATAAGCATTGCAACTATACCACAGATGGGGAGTTATTTGCAAGTGGATTTAAAGGATTACAGCGTATGCCCCTGTTCATGTAATCTTTTATTATGTATATTCTTCAATATACATGGCGGACAAATACTGACGTACATCAATTGTGTTTTTGTCTCGCCTGCGTAGCAAAAAGCGAGACATAGGCGCCGCTTTTCCGGTGACGGCGACGGCGGCGTCAACATCAAAAACTTAACCTAAGGCTAAGTTTTTTAATTTTTGATATAATTTTTAAAGTATAAGTTCTTAGTCAATAAAACTTTGACTATAGGGTAATCAAGTATCCCCAATCATGTGAGTAGAATTTCAGATAACAAAGTCAAGGTCAAAGGTCATTTCAGGTCAACAGACTTTGACTATGTTGTAGCATCATCATCGAAAACTTAACCTAAGGTTAAGTTTTTGAATTTTTGATATAATTTTGAAAGTATAAGTTCTTAGCCAATGAAACTTGGACTATAGGGTTATCAAGTCTCCCCAATCATGTGAGTAGAATTTCAGGTCACTAAGTTAAGGTCAAAGGTCATTTAAGGTCAACAAACTTAGACTTTGTTGTGGCATCAACATCAAGATTTGCAAAATGCTTCTTCTTCGTTATTTTTCAACCGATTTTGATTCTGATTGTTTCATATGATAGGGCTAGGAGGGGGATTTAAAATTTCTACACAGAATTGTGAAATTCATTATCTATGCTAATTTATGCAAATTTATTCGAAAGTATAAAAAAGGGCTTCTTCTCCTTCATTTCTCGACCGATTTTGATTTGGTTTGCTTTATATCGTAGAGCTTACTTTGGTACACTAAACTTCTACACAGAATTTTGAAATTGTTCTCCATAAATTAATTATGGTAATTTATGCAAATTTATTCCAAAAATAACAAAAATTGCTTCTTTTCCCTCATTTCTTGACCGATTTTGATTTGGTTTGCCTTATCTGGTAGAGCTAAATTTGGAACACTAAACTTCTACACAGAATTGTGAGATTTTGCTCCATTGATTATTTATGGTACTTTATGCAAAAGAAATGAAATTATGTCCCTTCCAGGGCATCAAAATTTTATTTTTTGACCAGTTCAAAAGTGTACCACATAAAATTTACGATATTTGTTGTTGCGAGATGCAGATAAGCGCTACGTCATTGACGTTCTGGTTTATCATATTGAATTGCGTTATGCAGGCGAGACCGCCGAGAGCGTTTCCCTTGTTTGTTTTCTTTCTCTAAAATATATAGGATTATCTTGGTTCAAATGTGACATGGTAGTTTTAGTGTTTTGATTATTTAAAGAGACTGTTTTTAACACTGACAATGTATCTCATACATTGTATCTGTTGTTTTTGTTTACAATTTTTCGGGGTCAGTGGTTAAAGCATACATGTACATATCACCTTAGCTAAGGTCATATCATTATGCAGCACCTGGCCCCCGGCCATAAATAATAATGTACATGTCACGTATTATATGTCCACCAACACAATCATCGTCTCTCAATCGTTTTGTATTGGTGCCTTGGCATAAGGATTGCTGCTGGTACATTGAAGCAAAATCCTTTAACAAAATACAATATCATATTACTTTTTATTGAGTATATGAAATGTTTTTAAGATTTGATTATGCATAATTTAGTGTCGTCATCTAGCAGCAGACATTTTTTAGATTTGAATTGTTGTCGCACAGTTCAGGTGATTGAAATGAAAATTTATAGAAAGTTTAATTTTTTTTTTAAAATCTTCCATTGATAGAGGATTGAAAACATACAATTACTTTTTGTCTAATCATTGAAATTACAACTTTACATCATACAGTGTACATGTCCTTCTAATTTTCTGTACTACTTCAGGAACATGTTTGTTTCATCTTCCACTGATTCTTTCTTTCTAATTTCTTATCATTTTCTTCTCCTTCTTTTCCTTCTTCTTATTCTCTAGGATTTAATAACATGATCTAGTTTATTTTCAAATGTTATAGACAAGGCAATTCTGACTCTAAGAGCACTTTTCCATTTTTAGAGATGATGTCATCTGTTTCTTTGTTTTTGTCTACCAAATATCCCCAAAACACATGACTTTAGACAGATATCATTTTCTTCAAATTTGATTTTGGTAAAGAAAACAACTATTTGCTATATTTTTCTTGTAAGTTGTCTCCCTACCTAAAATATTTTGGTTATTATGAGACATCGTCATTGAAAGTTGTAAAGTAGATGTGTACATTTCTCTTTTTCCAACCCTTGCAATTGATTGAATTGTGATTCATTCAATGAATTGAAGATTTTATCTTTTTATGTTTTTTCTATTTTTTCTTTCCATCATCAGACAACCGATGAAGAATGGGAACCCACTCAGCTGGATGCTACAGCCACCATCATGAGGAAGGTAAGAAAACTTTGACTTTCATACAGGAAACATCTCTTTGAAGATCAGAGAAAGTTGGACTGGGCAGGAAAAAAGAAAATGAGAAAAGAATTGGACAAAGAATAAGTGTGAATTTTGCCATTTTCAGAAGTTGCGATCAACTATTATATTTGTGATCTATTGGAATCTTAGGTCACAACATGTGATGTCATGCAGGGAGAACTGTCCTACATATCTGTATGAGTAAAATAGTCAAAACAGTTTTCATTTGTACCAACCTAAGACTTGAGACCTTGGATCATCCTGTTCTGGGCCCCGTCTTACAAAGAGTTTGGATTGATCTAAATCAATAAAAAATCCTCCAATCAATCACAAATTTGCAGTCTCCTATCTCTTCTGTACATAGTTGCGATTGATATCAATCGCAAATAAGGTGCAATTGATATCAACTCTTTGTGAGACGGGGGCCCTGGAGAGGAAGCAATCCCCGAGTTTCCTCCACTGCGTTCTTTCTTTGGCTTTCGATTTGCTTGATCCAGGCTGCTGTAAATAGGTAGTCCATCATTCTTCTCCATGTGATTATTGGCTTTTCTTTCTGTTTCCTGTTGACTTTCACACACATGTATCACATGATGTAATTACATATTGTAAGTGAAGTTTTCAAATCAGTGGCCCAACATCTGAAGCAAGTCCTTAGACTCTAATGTATATTTTAGTGGTACAGTGAAACCTGTCAATAAAGACCACCCAAGGGAGACAAAAAAAAAAGTGGCTTTCATAGGCAGGTGATCTTTATATACAGGTTCCTTTAGTTCATGTTTCAATGAGAAACCCTTTTCAAGGGAAACAAAAAATGTGGTCTTTGTAGACAGGTGGTCTTTACAGACAGGTGGTCACTAAAGCAGGTTTGACTGTAGTATAATATCTATATTAATTTTTTTCTCTACCTTTCTAACATTGTGACCCTTGACTCTCTTTCAGCTGTTGGAAGCCATTGGGTTTTCTGCCTACTGGAACACATCGGTGGAGCATCCAGTCTCTGGTTATGTCAGGAGTGGACAATGGAAAGAGATCCTCAAGAGCTCCATCCTCAGTCACCAGGTCAAGGGTCAACCCTTCGATTTCGGTGAGTCACATGGAAAAAGTCCTCCCCAACAGCCACATGATCATTAATTTCTACAAGACATAGGAATTCAAAACAAACTTGATGTTTATACAGTTGGCTTGCGGTTGCACCATGTGAGAGAAGGGGAGGATTAAAAAGACCTAAAAAGGTCTCTCGGTAATCTTTTTTTCTTGAGTGTGTGTAGTCCTGAAAAGAACTGTTGGTGTGGTCTTGAAAAAGACTGTTGGTTATCGGTACAACCGCAAGCCTACTGTATATCTACATCACCATGCAAGCCGATACTTAGAAGCAGCATCTAACTTGATGTTTGTTCAAAGATGATCAAGATTTTACTTTTTAAATTCATTTTTATTACCATACAGCTGTTTGTGATTTTTAAAGATATTGATTTCATGTCACAAAAATAAAATATGAAGTGATTTTAATTCTATTGCTGTTTGTTTTGTTGTTATTCATCTAATATTTGCTTAATTGTAGTAGAGGTATATTAAAAAATCACTGAAATTATCATCTAAGATTTTCCTAAAAATTTCTGTCTCCTCTGTTGTACATAGAGCCAGAAGGATTTATCTTTGTGTTACATGTAAATAACTTGAATTACGTAATTGTTCTTCTTGCTCTGTACATGTTTTGTGTAGAGTAACCACTATCAGCGATATGGAAATAAAACTGACAAAATCATCATTGCTATTTTCATTCTCAGTTGTTGAGCCAGTGACCACCACAGCCCGCCTGACCTTCGACAAGTCCGACCCTCCAACGGACTACACCAACCCACAGATCATCTTGGACATTCTCACCTCCGCCTTGACCATCTCCTTGACACGGCCGCAGTACATCTGCATCATTGACCTCGCCCAGTCCATGCAGCTGCTGGCGGTCAACGAGAGATACAGGAAATACAGGCCAGGTGTCCACGTCCAAGGGAACACAAAGAAATGGTCAGTGTTGGACCCCCTGGGGAATCTTTTTTGTCAGTTCCTCTTCTTTCTTTGTCCTATCAGCTTTGATTTTTTTTTTAATGATTTTTTTTGTAATTGATGCAAGAATTGCAATGAATTATTAATATTAGTTTGTCTAAGTAGCAATTTATTCAGTTGTGCAGATGAACAAATAAGTTAAGTTTTCATGCAGTGTCCATGTATATGTACATGTAAACTGATAATAATGGTGGTGATGATGAGTATAATAATGATCCTGATGATGTTGATGATGATGATGATGATACATGGAGATTTATCAAGTGTAATGCCTTTAATATAAGGATACGAAATTGCACCATGAAAATTAAGAACAAATAAATTATCAGTCTTTGTGTGTTTTATTTTTACTTTAACCCTCTGGCATTCCATCTTTCTTGCTCTCTGCCACTCTCCATATCTCTGTACCACTTTCCCTATGTCTTTGTCTCTCCCCCTCACTCATTCTCTCTCTCTCTCTGCTCTCCTCTCCATCCCTCTCTCTCCCCCTCTCTCTTCCCTCTCTCTCTCCCTCCCTCTCTCTTCCTCGCTATCTCTCCCTCTCTCTCTCTTCCCTCCCTCCCTCCCTCCCTCTCTCTTTCCCATGCACTCTGTACCCCAGGTGGCACTATGCATACAAGGCCATCTTGGAGGAGCACATCCGTCCCTGGTCCGCCCCCAGGATAGAGGCCCACCTGGAGGTCTACAACACCTACTGGCAGAAGTACAAGCAGAAGCTGGTCCTGCAGGAAGCCAAGCAGAGCACAGAGGCTCTCGACAGGAAGATCAAGGGTCTGGAGGATAGACTAGACCTGACCAACATCATCGCAGGGAGAGAGAGGGCCAAGACAGAGGTAGATAATGGAAGTGTGATATATTCAAACAAAATTTTGACGGTAAAGATCTTTCAATAAATATTGTATGAATATAGTGTAAATCAGCTGGTTGACATTGACTTGCCATCAAAAGAGCAAATTAAGTTTAATAAGTCATGGGGAGTGTTCCACAAATACTAAGGTCAACTTTAAGTTGGACTTAACTATGGCAGGCCATTCATGCTACTGTTTGCTCTCACCATTTAATACTGGCATTGGTCTCTCAAGGGATGTACAAATCATGGTCACAAATCTACAAAATTTCCATGGTTTGATAATTTATTATTGAAGGACAATATATTATCTAAAGATCATAATGGTCTGCCATAGTTAAGTCCAACCTTAAGTCGATCTTAGTCTTTGTAAAACACTCCCCATGTCTAAGCGGGCAGAGTTAGTACCCTGATTTCTGGAGAGCCAAGTGGCAACCTCTTCATGCCATAATTTTGTTTAAATAATTATAAAACTTCACGTATATGAACAAACAATAAAGCAATACTGATAGTAAAATGAAAGGTCTGAAAATTAGACAAGACCCTGATGACTCGAGAAATGAAATTAGCAGTAGCAAATCTGAGCCGACAAATGTGTCACAATGAAATTGAATGGTGTTAGAAGCATCTGGACTCTCGTCTTAATACTCAATGACAATAAATTACATGAGAGTGATAGACAAATCTGTTCTGCCATTGTGTCTTTCAGTTTGACTCACTTTAGCATGTGATAGATGCTGTAGGAGAATGAAGTTATAACCTCAAAACAAATCATCTGCCTTGAACACTACATGTATGTATGTAGCAATATCATAAACAATTAAAGAGTGAAATTAAAGTAACGTTTGACGAGCATGGGGAGAGAATGCACATCATGTTGGCTGTTGACTGAAATATCATCCTTTTGCATGTGTGCTGAATTGAAATCAATGGACCTGGTTGAACTATTAAAATGATTGTAAAAAAAGTCAAGATAGGAATATTCCTTTTCAGACGAACAGACATATCCAAATGGACAACTTAGTACTGAGCTTTTTAAAATTAATATTGCGAACCTTTAAAATATGTCTCCTATCTTTATGCTGAATCACTTTTCCGCAAACACTATAGTTCATCAAGGAGAAACCAGAGAGAGACAGAGCAAGGAGAAAAAAGAAAGCAGAGGACACCAACTGGTTCATGCGTCTCATAGGTTATGGGGATGAGGAGGAGGAGGAGGAAGAGGACGATGATGAAGGTCAGTTTAAATTAATCATGATTTAGAAAAAGAGAGTGAGAGAAAGAGAGAAAGGGAGAGTGAGTTTCCAAGGAAAAAGAAAACAATATATAGGAAGGCAATGTCACTGATAATTTTTGTATCATTTTCATATTCATTCATTGCATCATATGTTTTGTACAATAGTTTTAATAAAGTCAGATGCAATAGAATAACAATTAGTGCATTCCTTTGCTGTATAGGACACTTCATATTTTGTTACTAATTCTTAAATACAAATAATCGCCATGGCTTTCAGCTAAGGCTTTCAGCCACTGTATGCATATTTAATAACAAAATAATTCTGTCATATTTAGATGGAAGATGTTTGAAAATGGATGAAAATATGATGTCTTGCATCTTATTTACGTCTCTAGATTTATGGTCTCAGCTGACAGATGAAGAGAAGGCTAAGGTGTATGCTGGGATAGGTTATAGCGAGTCGAGAGAGGGCAGCAGTGTGGATGCTAGCCCTATTCCTGTACAGGTCAGTCATTTTATCACTACATGTATGTGGCTAGAAGTTTTCCTGCTTTTTGCTTTCATATTTCTTGATCAGACTGATTCAAGTTTTCATTACAAAACCAACAAGGTTTGCCCATGTAGTCTGTAAAGATAAATATCTGAATGCATACTCTGATGTGAAGTGCTAGACAAATTTAATGGAGAATTTGTGAGAAAATTGTTGTGTTTGTATTTTGTTTTAGATCTCTGAACTTGGTGCAGCACCTTGTGCAGTTATAGATTGGTGCATGAATATTGTTGTACAGCACCAAAATTACTTATAGATGACTGAAATAAATTCAGCGACTGTAGTGATTTCTTCTTTTGCTACACCTACTGGATATGATCACATAAGCTTATACTAAAGTCTTATTTTGTCATTGAATTGCCTGATTTTATGAAGACCTCTTCATATTTTCTCTCATACTTTTTAAAATCATTTGCTGTAAATGAACTCTAAACACCTTCGATCTCCACTTTGAAAAAACCGCCCATTTTTTCTGAAATTCACTTTTGAACTCTTTGGTTTTCTGTTTATATATTTTGAAGCCAACTGATTAATATACTCTCAACATATATTAATATCAATCTATATCACATCATCTAAACTAGAATTTCAACTGTAATTCTGTACTCTTAATTTCTATTTTGCTTTAAATTGATGCCAATCTATGTTCATTGTAATTGATATGTTTATTTTGTAATTTTGCATGTTTTTGTCTGCCATCAATGGCTGCAAAGATATATTTTAATAAACCTTGAATTGAATTGAATTGAATTGAATATGTGACGTTACTGTTTTTATATAAAGCCTGGCATAACCTTATGTATTTGTGTCTTTTCTTCAGTATGTGAGAACCAAAGTGAGCTTCCTCCTTGACCGCTGCACTGTGGCCTTGAAGAACAGGAATGGAACCATACTGAGAGGCTTGCTACAGAACGTACAGGCTGGAGTACAACTTAGACCCGTCAACAATGCTGTCCAGTGAGTATTTTAGTGATCTTTGTCAGGTTTCTGTGGGGTTTCTGGTTTGTCTTTGTGGGGTTGTACAATGTCTCTGAAGAACAGACATGGAGTTGTACAAGCTGGTACCTGTCCAGTGCTGCCCAGTGAGTATGATGTACTACCAGTGATCTCAAGTTTCAGTAAGAATTTTAGAGGATTTATGGGGGTTGTACAATGTCTCCGAAGAACAGACATGGAACTGTTCTTAAATACTTGTTGCAGAACGTACAAGCTCAGATCAGTCAACAAAGAGGAAAATATAATGACTGGTACATTGAAGAATACAGGATAATATTTAGCAATTACAGTGTTGTGTTTATCTTCATCAAAACTCAAAAATGATAATTTTTGAGACATTTTGGAAGTAGCAATAGCGATAGCTCAGTCGATAGAGCAGTGGTCTCGTAATCCGGTGACCTGGGTTCGAAACCAAGTTGATTAGCTAGTGCCCTTTGGTAAGGCATTAATCCTCTTTACCAGGTCCCTCGGAGAGGACCTAGAGCCGTCGGCTGTCTGGTTGCTTATTAACAAGCATTTATGCTTTCCTAGCAGTCAGGTAAAATAACCACCACCACCATTAAAAAGTAAATTTGACATCAATTCTTGCTTTCAGTGTGATGCTGAGTACAGATGCCATGCGTGTAGAGGGCGCCCTACCAAACCGAGAGCTGGTTCCTCTGATCTCCTCAGAAAAGCTTCATCCAGACACCTCCATGACGTCCCAGGTCTTCAGTGTGGACTTTGAGACCTCTCCGTTGACCGTCCCTGCAGACATGGCTCTGGCCATCACCTCAGAGCCCGTAGACATAGTCTACAACCAGTATGCTGTCTCGGAGCTCATTGGCTTCCTCAAGGTCGATAGCTTGGATCTGTCGGGTCTCAAGTCGGCTGCCTATGCTGGGGTCCAGGAGCTTGCCAAGGCCTCCCAGAACAACCTTCTCTATGCAATACAACATCATAAAGTAAGTACAGTATGATCCAGTGAAACAACACTGCTTCCGTGCATGCACTGTAGCAACAGATGTGTCTTGCAGTTATAACAAAATGTCAAGACATCGCTCCCTGTTGTTGTTGTTGTTGTTGTTGTTGTTTTTTTGTTTTTTTTGGGGGGGGGGTAGGAGCTGAATCTTTAGAAGTTTTCGAAAGGATTGATTTGTATATAGAGTTTTTAGAGCAACACGCCAGAAAATCTCAGAATCTTGTATGATAGTTTGATATATATTAACTCAAAGAGATGTTTGACTGGGTATCTTTACTTGATATACTTTCATTTCTCAGACAATCCAGGTGGACTTTGATGTGAAGTCACCAAACATCATCATTCCTGAGCATGGATCCTTGGACCTCGGGGGCTACCTGCTCATCCTAGACCTTGGTAGTCTAAGGGTTAACAGTGAGCTACAGAAGGACACCACTGCTCTTGAGGTAACTACTTAAAAACTTGTAATATATATCACCAGGAAACTTTTGCCAGTTGAATTTGCAAATTGTAAACAAGAGGGATTTTCTTGGCAGGAACTGTTTTTGCAAATTTTTGCATCTTTAATTTCACTCATTTTGCTGCATGAAACTTTCAAGAATCTTAACTACTTATGAAATTTGTGAATTTTTCATCCCCACCAAAGTTTCTAGTTTTTACGTTGTGTGATTCCCTTGGGGAAAGACAGATAATGCTGGACATAATACCTTGCCTGTATCCATATAACAATGTTTATTAAAGAGAAAACTCCTGCAAGTAACTCGTGGAAAAGATGCAAACAGCACACACAAAGATATACTTCTTTTCACTCATGCATTGCAAATAAATTCAATTCTTGTACACTCTCTTAAGTTTCTTATGATTATGAGGAATGAAAATTATCTTTCTACCCTGTCTCTGTAAACATTGCTGAAATTTGTCCATTTACATTCATTTTACATGTATTTGTATACATTAAATATTGAAGAACATATACTGAACATGTGATGAGTTTTCTGCAATCCTGATCATTGTAATGTTTTTAATTTTGAGCTATAAATATACACATTTATAATTTTGACCATCATTGTTTTAAATCTCTTTTCATTCAGGACGCCACGCCTACTGAGATAGAAGCCAGGCTCTATGACAAGTTTGTCATCAGAATCACAGACATACAAGTCCTACTTGTTGAGCAAGGTATAATAACTTTGTCTGTGACTGCATTCTTAAAACATTGGTTATGTACTTAATACACTACAATGCCAATGCTACCCTGTATAAATAAAACTACAATTAAAGAATAGATAAAGTTAGGAACTTGACTAGTGTAAGAAAAAGATCCATGGAGTGATTGTTACAGGGAAAATCACCAGAGCCCCATTTTCTAAAACTTGTTTCTAAAATACTACTAAATATGAATTAAAAAAAACTTCTGAAATGGCAACATTTGATTGGCTGAGAGCAAATTTGTCATAGAAATTAAGCATCTGTTATTTTCTACAAAGACCACTTTGTGTGTTTCCCTTGTGCAGTCGCTACAGACAGGTTTGACTGTATATATATTTATGTACATGCAGGTGCGGACTGGAGAGAAGCCCTTCAGGCCAGGGAGTCGAGACATCACATCTTACCAGGTCTAAGTCTTCAGGTCAACACCTTCATCAGTGCTAAACCAGACTACAAACAACTTCCGCAGTGAGTACTGTATAATTCAATTCGTACAAGCAATACCACTTGATGTAAACATTGAACTTGATATGCAACATCTTAACTTTTTTGCTTTGTTCCTTACATATTTTTATGCCTCCGCCACCGAAGGTGGTGCCGGAGGCATCATGTTTTCGGGTTGTCCGTCCGTACGTCCGTCCGTCCGTACGTCCGTCCGTACGTCCGTACGTCCGTCCGTCCCGTTTGACCGTTATCACAATATCTCAAGAACCATTTAAGATTTAAACTTAAGACTCGGGAATAGTATTTATCACCATAGGAAGACGATCTGATTAGATTTTGGAGTACGTAGGTCAAAGGTCACAGGTCACAGAGGTCAACTTATGAAATTCCTTGTATTGAGTTTGTTAGCGCGATATCTCAAGAACCATTTGAGATTTAAACTTCAAACTTAAGGATAGTATGTATCACCATAGGAAGACGATCTGATTAGATTTTGGAGCACGTATGTCAAAGGTCAAGGGTCACAGAGGTCAACTTATGAAATTCCATACATTGAGATTGTTATCATGATATCTCAAGAACCACTGGAGATTTAAACTTCAAACTTAGTGATAGTGTGTATTACTAAAGGAAAACAATCTGATTACATTTTGGAGCACGTAGGTCAAAGGTCAAGGGTCATAGAGGTCAACTTATGAAATTCCATACATTGAGATTGTTATCATGATATCTCAAGAACCACTGGAGATGTAAAAACTTCAAACTTAAGGATAGTATGTATCACCATAGGAAGACAATCTGATTAGATTTTGGAGCACGTAGGTCAAAGGTCAAGGGTCACAGAGGTCAACTTATGAAATTCCATACATTGAGATTGTTATCATAATATCTCAAGAACCACTGGAGATTTAAACTTCAAACTTAATGATAGTGTGTATCACCATAGGAAGACAATCTGATTAGATTTTGGAGCACGTAGGTCAAAGGTCAAGGGTCACAGAGGTCAACTTATGAAATTCCATACATTGAGATCGTTATCGCGATATCTCAAGAACCACTGGAGAATTTTCACTTCAAACTTAATGATAGTATGTATCACCATATCATAATATCTCAAGAACCACTGGAGATTTAAACTTCAAACTTAATGATAGTGTGTATCACCATAGGAAGACAATCTGATTAGATTTTGGAGCACGTAGGTCAAAGGTCAAGGGTCACAGAGGTGAACTTATGAAATTCCATACATTGAGATTGTTATCATGATATCTCAAGAACCACTGGAGATTTAAACTCCAAACTTGTTTAAATTGCTCTATGGCGGAGGCATCATTTTCGACTGCGCGCAGTCAAAATTCCATCTAGTTATATATCGATCGGTATGTTGAATTATTTTTGGCGTAGTCCTACACTCTTACAATCTTACACCCTCTGGTTGTATTAAGAAGCAACGGCGGTAGGAAGGGTTGGAGGAACACAGAGGCAGTGAACTATTTTGAGACAGGCTCTTAGGGTGGTATTCTCGAAAGCAGATGTAATTTACTCCATGGTTTAATCCTCCAACTAAGTATGGAATGTCAAGTGTCCATATGAATATATTTTTGAATAATTTGTCAACATAATTATTTTATAGTTATATTGTTGTAATTAATTTAGTGACAGACTAAATTATTCAAGAACATACTCATATGGACACTTGGCATTCCATACTCGGTCAGAGGTTCAAACCATGGACTAAATTTAGTCCGCTTTCAAGAATGCCACCCTTATTGTACTTGTCATGGTTTTTAAAATAAATTCAAGTATTCACACACATTTCTTCCTCTTGTTTTCTCTTCTTCAAGGCACAAAATAGAAGCAGTACTACCGTCACTCAAACTTGCGATATCAGACTCCAAGATTCAAGCTCTCGTCAAGGTAATGTCATCCCACTGATATTAGGGAATAGGCCCTACTGATTGATTGTACATGTATGAACATATCTACAACTCGTTTCAATAACACTTGATACTGTATATTAAAGGGCCAATACGTTTGACATCATGTGATAGTTTATGATGCTTGCTCTTCGCGTTCTGGTCTGAATTTGGCTGCGTAATTGCATGTGTGCTTAAATTCAGTGCCCTGCCGACTATTAATCTAGATATAAACCATGCACAGTTCAGAGAAAATCATGAATCATGAAAAAATGAAATGTACATGTATAATGATTACACCTCTCTTAATTTCTCTCTAATACCTGTAGACTTCTTTTCTCTCAGTGGTCGCACTGTTATGAGTACAGCTTAGACAGCATTCCTACATGAGGGCTCCATTGTTACCCTGTTTTTGCATTCTTTTCTCTTACAGTTTGCCAAGAATGTTCCACTTCCAGATGTTCAAGCCAGTTCCAATGACATTCCATACAGGACTCCTATGCCCTCAATCGTAAGTCTTGATTAATATACAGACTCTGATCATAGATGAAGGATTTATCTATAAAAAAACAAATCAGTTACTAAGTGATTTCTTTCAAGGAATATCAAATTAAATCTTACTGGATCATGGCTATTGAATAAGCACATGGAGTCAGAAGCCTTCATGATTTTAAGAAGCTGATCAATTTTCTTGGGAATGCAATATTTTGTAAGTTGACCAATTTCAGCGCTTCCGCTGCATGTTTGATTTGTTTTTACAGCAATAATAGCAACAACAAGACTAACAAATACATAAAAATAAAAAAAATAAATTTAATGTGCGACTCTGTTCTTTTCTGTAGGACCCCAAAGCAGTGAAGTCTGAGATCTCTGCGGCTGCCTTGCGTCGTACCAAGAGACTCATGCTATGGAGTAGGAAGGCCAGGATCGCTGGTACAACCCTGCAGACCAGGAAGATAACCAACGTAGATGATATAGATCATACCCCTGTCCAACCACCCACCCCACCTGTAGCCCCACTCAAAGGTAATTATGTACTCTTCTTTTTAAATCCGAAGCTGTAGTCCCACTCATACATGTACATGTAGATACATGTATATGTAGGTACATGTAGCTTTGTGGTTGTGTCATGCACAGCCTTCATTCCAACCCAGTTGTAAATACATGTACATGTACACTGTATGTGGGTATTTGTTGTACCACATGTTATGTGGTTCACTCAAAGCTATTTTCTGTGTGTTTATCACTTTTTGTAGTCCAACATAAATTCCATTCCTGTGATACACAACTATCAATTTGACAGGTTGAAAATTTCTTTTTTACTTTTGAATGCTTACAGCATTTTTCTTCAGACGAAGACTGTCGTCAATGTCGTTTAGACAGCTTTGAGAGAATGGGGTTGTATACGTTTGAGAGAATGTGTTGGCCCCAGCCCTGTTTATAGTGTTGCCCATGTTGATTCTTATTTTATTAATTTGACAATGAGAACATCTGCTACAAGAAGTTAACCTCTACCCTGATGTTGGTACATGTACATGTACAGTAGTGATTGTGTAATTGTTCAGAAGGTTAATATCGCTGTTCATATATGACCTTTACTTTGATACAGGTGATATATACAACATAGCATCAGATCATTCTGACAGCTCTGCACATACATGTACAGTGTATGCCCTTTAGTTTGATACAGTTGATGTATACCGGTATTATACGGCATCAAATCATTCTGACTGCTATTCACGTATGACTTTTACTTCAATACAGGTGATGTATACTACACAGCATCAGATCATTCCGATGAGGATATCCAACATTGGGCAGCCTCGTCACAGGTTCCAAAGTTTCACGACAACGATTCCGCTACGAACCAAACCCACACACTTCTCAGATTTGTCATCAGAGAGGTAATATGTCTTTGTTAGGAGGAGCAGTTTTGACTCTGGCTTTAAATATATAAAGTTTAAGGATGCCAGTTTTCAGGCCATATGGCCTGATTTCTGGTCTTGACACCTTCCAATTTCAAACTTTTTTAGGCTAGATATTTTACAGCAAGGTTTGGGGCTCCAGCTTGTCAGAGGTATCCCTGACAGCTGCATGTTCAAGCCCAAGCATATTGGTGTTATATTTGTATGCCTTTGATATAATAATAATAATAATACAGTAAACTTGTATATAAGAAAATATCCAAAGGGTGATGCCTTCGTAGGTACATGTAGTTCGTATTTCTTCAGTTTAGTACCTGTTTTATATTTCAGTGAGGAAAAACTTATCAAGCAAAATAACAGCACCCAACACCTTCAAATATATTTTCAATCTTATCAGCATGCACATATAAGTTGCAAATTTTATTACTAAAAACAGACAAAAAATTCACTATGTCTTGTGTTTCTCCATTTGATTAGGTGGTGGTGTCCATTTCTAAGCCAAGCACCAGCATTCTACCCCTTCCAGCTACATCCGGAGATAGGAGCACCAGTCCAGCTCCTCCCTCCCCCACCGAGACTGGAGAGTCGGAGTACCTCAGCCTGAGGATAGACTCTGTGTGTGTGGACGTGGCCCTCAGTACCTACGGCCAGGCCCTGCATATGGGACTGAGGGGCATCCAAGTCATTGATAAGTTCCATATAGGTGAGCAAGATGCTGAATATTTTTTTTTAACAAACCGAGATGGATTTTTATTTTAATTGACATTTTCACTGCATGTTGATGATTTGTAAGAGTTTCTTGTCTACTACATGTACATATACTTTCAAAGTCTTAAATGTATTAAAGTGTGGCAGTATGCTGTAAATCTTTTGAAAAATAACATTTATCAGTTGCAAGACACACTGGAAAAAGTGAAGATAAAGAGAGAGAGAGAGAGAGAGAGAGAGAGAAGGTTTTTTTTTAAATTATTTTACAGTTGAATGGAGGCATTTATGCAAAAGTTTGATGACGCATCATCAAAAATCAAATTTGGAATGCCCGTGTTAAGCTGTACGACATCAGTCCTAAAGGCCACTTTGTGAAAAATACTCAATTCAATCATGACTTTGTGGTTGCTAAGTACTGTACTGCTAAATTTCTTCTTTTTTTGTCACATGAAATCAATTAGTAACATGTACCTTTCCTACTTCAACAGCATTTGGCTTTCAAAGTAAAAATGTAAGATGTTTTTCTTCTTCGTTCTTTTATTAGGTCCAGATGGCACTTATCTTCATTTGCTCAGCTCAGCGGCTACTTCAGAGCTGTTTTCTGTTCTGTACAGAAAGGTGTGTACTCTGCAACTGTTAAGAACTTATGTACTTACTAGCCATATAGAGCTCTAGAATCAAGAGAAATACACTGTAACTTAAAGGAGGATATTATAGGACATAGATCAACGTTTCATTGTATCTGCTCCAAATACCATGAATCTTTATTGTCCACTTCAGATCTTGGGAATTATCTCAAACCTATAACAGTAACAACAACAAAAGGAGCACACAAAAAAAGCATAACAATACTAAAGGGTCATAGATGAAGTAAATTGTCCATGAAATTCTTTGGATCCTGGTCAAAATAATGTTTTCAAGAGGTGGAAGAAAGTATGAAATGAAAAAAGGAATTAAAGATTCTGAACCATACAAAACTTTTCTTGTAGTTGCTCATAGATACAACATGTTTACATCTCTTCTCTTCTGTTATACTCAACAACAGTATACCTCAAACACCACAAAATGATATTGCCAAAAGGCACTGTTCTACAGTTTCTTGCAAAAATCTATAATTTCAGTATCAACTATTCAGTATCAACTGTGGTATTGATCGATTCTTCAAGCATACTTGTACTGCTGTTAGTTAAATTTCAACTTCAATACATCTACAGGTTATATTTATGCTTCTTTGTGTACTTTAAAAATAATGATAATAATATTCCGCTTTTATATAGTGCCCAATACATTATCACAACCGCACACAATGTATGCACATTCTCCACTCCCTGGGGAGCATTCCAGCCAGTCGCCATTTTACAAGCACACACTTGCTCATCCAACCACATTAACTTTCACATCCTACTATACTATACTTGTACAGGTTGACGCTAAGTGTCCAGACTTCAGTGGTTACTATGGATCTACGGAGCAGGCTGTCGTCATCAACTTCAGTGCACTCAATATCCTCTTTCACAGAACAGCCGTGCTCTTCCTCAAGAAGTCCATTACAGAGATGATTACAAGGTTAGTACAGAATCAGTTTAAATTGGAAATATATGAGTGTTACAACTTGGTAAATTGGATTCTTGTAGGGAAATAGTGAGTGAGGGTAAGTGAGAGAGTGAAGCTGAGACAGAGATGGCAAGAAACACAGGTGGATATACAGAGATAGGGAAAGATAGAGAGAGAGAGAGAGAGAGAGAGAGAGAGAGAGAGAGAGAGAGAAGAGAGAGAGAGAGAGAGAGAGAACGGCCGTGCTCTTCCTGAAGAAGTCCATCACAGAGATGATTACAAGGTCTGTAAATAATCAGTTTAAATTGGAAATATGAGTGTTACAAGTTGGCAAATTTGATTTTTGTAGAAAAACAATGAGGTGCAGACACTGCAGGGAGTAATTGAGAGAGTGAAGCTGAGACAGAAATGGCAAAAAACACAGACAGATATACAGAGATAGAGAAAGATACAATGTAGATAGAGCAGATAAAAACATGAGAGAGGGAGAGAGAGAGAAAGAGAGGAAGTGAAATCAACAGGTCAAAATGCATAGCATTAAATGTGAAGAAAGTTCATATGAGTTAATCTGATCTATGAATTGTTCATTCAAACAGTTTAGAATCACTTTGAAAATAAAAATGTTCTGTAGTTATATTGACACAATCACTCATGTTTGCCATTATTATAAAAGTTCACTTTTCATTTTAAAAATATGCACATCAAGTAAATCCAACATACAGTGTATCATTTTTTAGCTCATTGATAAACATTGTAATACATTTTCCAAATTGACTATGTGCATAGTATTTCTATTGTATAAAGAAACCACATTTTAACCAATTGTTACTGTTTCAATAATCTTCCCCTTAATCAGTCAGAGTGTGTTTCTTTCACATTACAATTTGCACAATACAGCAGTATACCCAAGTTCAGTAATCAATATTGAATAATATTCACATTTTCAATTTAAACCTTGTTATTATGTTATTCATTCATTTCATGTCCATGTACATGTAGTCTGAGTTCCATCTCACTGACCGAGAAGGTTGCTGGCACATCACCAGCACCAGACCCTGAACCCATCCCTCCCAGTACACAAACACAGCAAGGTGAGTTGCACCCCATACCATTCATGTTAGATCATGAATGTTAAAGCCTGTCTGCACTAGTTTGGCCACAGGGGATTAGACCTCCCAGTGAGGTCACTGACAGGTGGTTATCTCATCAAATCAGCTCTCAATTAACATAAGAAAAATGGGATGGTGGGGGCCAACGGTTACTGCTTAGGCATTGTTTGTTATATAAAGGCACAAGTAGCTATAAGTAGTGCAGTGGGGCTTTAAGATCTTGTAAGGAGTATTGTGAATTTTGCACAGAATCCAAGAAAATATTGATTCAAATAATTGTTGAAGACAGTTACATATCAACAATATCGTGTAAAGAGAATGCTTTGTTTTGGCTTTGGAATTAAATGAAGGATTAAAGTCTTTTTGCATTCTCTAACCAAATAGAATGTAGTTTTCCTTTTCTCTTGAAATATCCCCCAAGGAGGTCTTCTTGGACCTCTCCTCTTCGTAACTACTGTTAATGATATTCGGATGTCATCTAATCTTCACTCTTTCAAATTTTTCTTAATGACACTTCAATCCATTTCTGATGCATCTTTCATATGTTTGCGTGTACATTAGGAGTAGTCATGAAAGATAAGATTCTCAACAAATTATCTTTCAATTTTCAAGATTCCCAAAACTCTTGTCCAAAGGTTTACCAGCTTAAAAATACTAGTACATGTACCTCATGCTCTTGAATATCTGCATTTTTTGTGAGAATTCATGTGTACATTATCGCTACAAATGTATATGCAGAGACGGACCCACCTGCCAAACCTCAGGCACCCAAGGCTCCAGTCAGAGGGGTGATAAGGTTCTATGGTGAGGCGACGATGGAGTACCTTTGCATCACGCTGACTGATGTCCATGAGTCTCTGGCCAATGTCTACATCAGAGGACTACAGTTCTCACTCATAGACAAGGATACAAGGATGACTGTGAAGGCAAGGTGAGGAGACGACGATGGTGATGGTGGTGGTGGTGGTAGTGGTGATGATGATGATGATGATGATGATGATGAGGGTAATGGTGATGATGGTGGTGGTGGTGATGACGTCAACAGCGACGATGATGATGATGATGATCCCTATACTTCTAAATCAGTTCAACTTGATCCAGGATCTAAATCAGTTTTGATACAAGGAAAACTTAGACCTCAGACTAATTTCCTTTGAACTCGTATTAGGACAAAAGCCCAAACACAGCATCAAGTTTAAATCTAAGTAGCTTATGGGTCATAGTGTATTTCTTCAAGGCCATGTACAATTGCTAGTAGTGTGCCAGTCACATTATCTACTTGGTCCCTTATATTGTTCACTTATGTTTTTACAGATTGAAAGACTTCTCCTTTGAGGATGCAGTGGTTAACACCGTTTATCCCAAGATTATATGTCTACAGGATCAGACTGCTATTGATGTTAGGGTAAGCCTACAGGAATGGTTATTGTAATTCAAGTTTTACAGATTTTAAGAGAGACAACCAAGTAAAGAGGACTTGCCAAGGAGCAGTGATTCAGAATATTTGCAATGTTATTTATCAGGAATGCAGGCTGTTACTTTAAAGATATTCATTCTGCTTTATTTATTATTTTTGATTAATTCATCAATGGCAAATACCTGCATGTTTAAGTAATTGCAAAAATGGTTGTAAATACAAGTTTTATGTATCAAAAGTTACAATTTTAGGTTGTTGACATATGCTATGGGCTACTTTTCCAATCTAAAACAATACAGTAATTTGTTTGTGACCTGAAGTTGTGCTTTTATGCTTTATAAATGATTACCTATTTTACACACAGTGTGTTTCTTTGACATGGTGGGAAATGTATAAAGTCAAATTAAAGTAATGAAGTAATTTACCCAGTGCCTGCATAAATAGAAATGCTCATTTATTAAGAAAAGGGGAAGGTGAAAGTAAGAAGTCAATGGCTAAAAGGCTTAAATGATGTAGGATGATAACTAAATGTACCTACATGTATTTTCTTTCATTATGAACACAGTTTGTGCAGTTCAAGCAGCCCACCCGTCAGCCCATACCCACCATCATCCCCCCAGACCCTGGGGCCTCTACGGGACCCACCCACGTCCAGCTGGACTACAGCCTCAAGGTCAGGCTGGGCAGCATCCAGGTAGTGCTGCTCGGACCTTACATCAAGGAACTACTGGTGAGGAACACTTTCTGTCACTTCAGGGGGGTGTTTCACAAAGATCCTAAGTTGAACTTATCTCTAAGTTGGACTTAACATTTATGGAAAACCGTTAGCATCTATGAAAATATTTTGTAAAAATTATTTTAGAAGGTATGAAATGTTGATTCAAGTCTTTCATATTTTTTATTATCAAGGATATTTTATGTTTTTGATGTGAAATTTATGAAAAGTTTAAAATACTAGAATTTTTGCTTTTGAATATATTTCATTTTAAGGCTACAAATGGCTCTCCATAATGTTTAAATCCAACTTAGAGTTAAGTTTGACTTAGGATCTTTGTTAACCCCCCCCCCCAGTTCTTATTAATTGATAATCAAAATCAACCCAAAGGGTAGAGGGCAGGGCCAGAATCAACCCTTCGGTATGTTTGGCGCTGAATTTTTAGAATGTTTTGCCCCTCTGTGGCGAAGTTTGCAGGTGTGGTGAAATCCACTACTCCCTGGCTGAGAGACTTTCAAAGTAACTGGTTGAGGGTGTTGAATATAATTTATATTATTTGATACAGTAAATGAAAGTGCAGTACCTATACCGAGCACTTGGCTTTTAGAGCACAAGGCATATGAACTGGATTAAATGCATTACAATTTTGTCGTACCCTATTATTGAAATGAGCATGGACATCTTCTCTGTTCCATTGCTGATTTATTTATTGGGGTATCAATGAATGTATATGATGGTTATATGAAAATTAAAACTAAGGCATATGATTAAAATCGATGGTGCTGTCTTTCTACGTCAACATGAAATAATACACTTGTGAAATAATTTATTTTGTACAGTAGGCTTGCGTTTGCACCATGTGAGAGAGGGGGGGGGGAGGATTGGGGAGTCCTGAAGAGGACTCTAGGTAGTCTTTCTTTCTTGAGTGTGGGTATGACAGAAATATGTGCACTGCAAAATGAATGGATGGACACACATTTGGGGTAGTAAATTTAATGTGAACAGCAATGTAATATGTTTAGTGGCTAATAACAGGACAATGTTTTTCTCTCTTTTTACTGATATCCCTCTGTCTCTAGTCTTTCTTTGAGCCATTCCTCAACCAAGGTGCTATAGATACAGCCAAAGAGGCATCCAGCATAGCAGTCAAGACAGTAAGTTATCTCTTTTCATTCTTTTTTGTGATGATGGTGTTTGAGGATTGCTTTACCTGACTGCTATTAAAGAAATCATGTAGGTGCTTGTAAGTAAGCAACCAGGGGAAAGACGGCTTTAAGGCCTCTCTTGGTTTTGAACTCGGGACCACCTTGTTATAAGACCACTGCTCTACCACTGAGCCATCATGCGTCTTCGTGTTTGTTTTATTATTCTGTAGATGAATATTTTTTTTTTTTTTTTTGGGGGGGGGGAGGAATAACTTATTTCTCCATGATCACTTCATGCTTATGGAATAGACTTTTGGTGAAGTATCTGTTGCCGTACATATACATGTATGTATTCTCCCATTAACTTTGCTTTTGAAGACTGTGTAAGAGGACCAGTCACAATTGTATACTATGAAATAACCCCCAACTCTTTTAAGTATTCAAATGATTAAATTAATGAGCGTGAAGGGAACATATTTAATATTCAGACCCACCTTGAATTTGTTATCTTTGAGTAAACTTTCAATGTGAGTTGAAAAGTTTCTGTGTCTGAAGCTGGTAATGTATGTATAGAAGTTGCTGAACACATGAAAACTATTGAATCCTGAATGTTGTTTTTAATATGTTTACATGTGTTATTATTCCTTTACTATTCAGGTAGATGACAGGAGAGATAAAATAGAGCAGGTTGGTGACGAAAAATATCCAAAATTTTCTATCATCATACGTATATCTCCATCTCTCTTCCATCATAAAGCATGTCTGCATCTTGGTACAGCATCATAAAGGGACAAAAAATGAATTCCAACCACTGAAGGTTATGTACCTTCATGCAGTCTAACACTATACACACTCTCCTTTCACTCCTCAGGTGGATGACATACAGCAGACCGGTGTGAAGGTGGGACTGGACATCAAGATCCGATCCCCCATCATCCTGGTCCCCGAGAAGCCAAGCTCCGCCCACGCCTTGGTGGCTAACCTGGGCAACCTGTCAATCATCAGTTCCTTTGACACGGAGGGCGGGATCGAGTCGCCGGATGGGCGGGCCAAGGTGACAGCCCCCCTGATGATGTACATCACCACCAGACTCACATCAGTGCAGATATCAAGGTGAATAAGGATCATAGTAATCAATTTATTAAGTGCATGGTACAGTCAAACCTGCTTCATAACTTGCACAAGTCAAATTTTCCTTTTAAGCCAAATCAATGTTTTTGACAGAACTATGCAAAACATGTGTTATTTACACTTCGTAATTCAGATTTGAAAGTCAAACTAATTTGTAGTCCCAACAGGTTCGACTTATGCATAGTCAACTGTAATTCTCAAAGTGCTTTACAAAATGGAATGGATGAACAGATTTTCTTTTTTAATTTGCTTCTACCGGTATATAAAAAACCTAATCTATATAAATCTTCATGGGTTTTAAGATTATTATTACTATAATATATTATCTCATCCCTCTCCTTTTTCTCTCTGTTTCTATCAATCTCCTCTGTCTGTGTTTTTCTATTTCCTGGCACTCTTTGTCTATTTCTGTCTTGACGTTTGCCTTGGCTCTCTATCTCATACCAATAATTACAAGCATAATACGTAAAGGTTGTAAACAACAATTAAAAACTCTTTCACCAAACTAATCTCCATTGTAACTCTTACAACAGAAGTTTAAAAGAAAAAGATAATTCTGTACAGGTTAACACAAAAAGTCTTTTTTGACACTGACCATTTTATTTCTGTAATTTAGATTAATGAATACAAACATAAAATGGTTGTCTTTATTTTCTCTCTCTCTCTCTCCCTCTGTATGATATTCAGAGCTGTAATCCACTCCAATCAAACCGTGGGCTCGTATCGTCTCATCATTGAACCCGTTGAACTCCGTGTTGACCTCAGCCGACCTGTTGACCCCAACGTAGCTGCTGTGACTCCACTCAGGGTCACTGCAAATCTGGAAATAGTGCAGGTTTGACTTATGATTTGTTTTTTTATAATAATTTATTGCATGCAGTGAACCTAAGAATAAGGAAAATTTACTCATGTAGCTTAGAAAAAACTCTGATCTAACACTTGCTCTGGGCTTTATTATTTTGTAAATGATGTAAAGCACGCTTGATGTAGAGTCAGGGCTTAGGTTGCAATCTTGAAGGTGGTTTGATTTATATACAGTTGGGGTCATAGTTCAGGATGGTGTTCCATATACTGTAACTCCAGGGTGAAAGCATGGGATTGACTAATGCTAGAAATTAACTGCCGGCAATTCTCGCGTTTCACATTCCTTGCGCCATCATTCGGTTTAGTTGCGACAGTCACTCTAGCGCTGTAATTTTGAGAGATGGGTCAACAACTTTCTCAACAAATCAGCTCGCTAGTTATTTATTGCATTTATTATTTCTTGGGAGCCTGCCATCAGCACGTCTTCTATCACATTTAGCCTTGCAGACATTCAACAATGAAGTCTTAAATTGATTCTCAGCTCTTTACTTGCTGCACTGGAGGATAATATACATTGATTCATAGATTAATTAATGTATTTATTTATTACCTGTATTTGCTTTAGTCAAATATTCATTCATTCATTCATTTATCTGTTTATTTATTTAGTAATCTATCCATCCATTTATTTGCTTATTTATGTGTCTATTTTGTATTCATCCATTCATTTAGTTATTTTGTAGTTATTTGTGTGATTGTCTGCTTCTTTATTTCTTTATTTATTTGTTTATGTATTCACAAACGAATAATGAACGAGAAATACATTTCTCTAAACATATTTATTTTTTTAACGGGTTTATGCATTGATGTCAATGTACATGTCCATATGAAATTTTCTTGCAATTTTTTTCATTTTTTCACTTCCATTCAACTTCTTATCTTCATATATGTGCATGCTGGAGAAAGAAATATATACATTGATTTGTTTACATTTCTTGTTCTCATGAACCTCTAATTACTCTGTTGCCAATATATAGTTTTAATACATTTTTTAAAATCTATTTCCATGAAAATATTGTGATGATATGATTTATTCTTATAAGATTTATATCTTCTCAGAACTCTACTGATCAACAATAAAGATTTATCAATATAGTTATTAGAAGATATGAACTTTATCCATTGAGAATAAATAATAGTGTCACAATCATTTCATGGAAAGAGGTAAGGAAAATTTATTCCAACTTTATGATCAACATTGTAACTATTCTTTACATGTATTCATATGATAATATTAAAATGTATTTACATTTTGTGATGAGGTGTATACGAATAGGAAACATTTCTTTAGCATTTGATCAAGAAAGCATGGTGCATTCTTATACTTATTTTATTTTACATGCCATTGATAATTGGAAAATATGGTGCATGTATGATTTTGATTATCTATCAAAAGTTATGAAGATATTTTGATGCAAAAATGCACCTACATGTAAGTACAATGTATGCAACATTAAATATGATGGTTATGGTGACTTTACATATAAATGTATATCGTGTGTTTAGTATTATGCACATGTAAATGTCAATACATGCACATGCTGGTTCTTGTTCTTCTTGACATGCTTAAGGTACCATTACATGTAAAAATCTATTTCAGATCAATATAGGAGAACAAGACATTGTGACAATCTTGGCGACGCTGAGCGATAACCTGATGGCGCCCCCTAGGGTTGTCGCAGAAGCAATGATTGAAGGTGAGTCAAGTTCTTTCCTTCTTGTGCTCACCATTGAAATTGCAACTTTCTCCATATAATGATGTTGTCAAAATAACCATCTTAAGCCTCAATATTTATATGTCCTTGTGATTATTAAAGGTTTAATTATTTAACATTTTGACGTGGTTATTATATAAAGTGAAATAAATGATATTTCTTAAAAAATAATGCTGCATGAGTAAACATACATGTAAGATAAGGTTAATTTTGTGTGTGTGTGTCCATGCTTTGAGCAATGGAATCATATCTAGCAGAGTAATGTCAACAGAATTATGTAGCATTTTCCCAGCCACTCTTTTCCTTTCTCACAGTCTCTTTTTTGTATCTTTGTAAGCATACAGTTCTGAAAACACGACAGTAAATTGTCAATTATATTTGGTTTTAGTTTGGAATTTGCCAATAAATTTTCACTAAAATACAGCTTCACAGCATCAAACATCTTTATGCCCCAAGTCATCAAAACATTTCAAGTACAAAGTATTAAATATCTGTATTTTCCTTCTAATAATTTCTGCTGATGCCAAGAAATTCATATATTAATGACAATAAAAATGTATCTTTAATACCATCATCATCATCATTACCGATTTATTTTCTTCTTCAAGAAACCATGGTTACCACCGAGGCAGAAGTTCATGAAAGTCTTCCAGGTACCAGTGCCACTCCACCGGTCCCTACACCCACTCCTCCTCCCAAGGACACCAAGCCAAGGAAGACCATGTTCATTCAGTTTGTGATGGATGGAGCTGAGTTGGAGTTCTATACCAATGAACAAAGATTGGTAGGGGAATGTACTTTTTTGGAAATATCTTACTCTGTTACAAAATGAATATCCATCTCAACAAAAGCTAATAATTGTTTCATCAGCAATGGATCCACTGCCTTCTGTTATCTAATCTATCAACATTTGTAAAAAAAAAAACAACACAAAGCCAGTTTTTATGTCTCCGCTACAAAGTAGCCGGAGGCATTACAGTATGTTTTCAGGTTGTCTCTCTGTCCGTACGCCCTGTTCTCGTGATCGCGTTATCTCAAGTAACAATTGATGGATTCTCGTTTTTTCTTTTTCCTATGTTGTTTGCATGGGAAGCTTTATAGAACATCTTTGTGTATAGCACAGTATAACCATTATTGTTATTATTATTATTGATAATATTTCAGCAAAGGAGTGGAAAGGGCGTATCTTCCCGTGACCCGAGGAACGGTCTGTCTCGCTTCAGACTCCATCAGGTCAACGGATCAGCGTCTGCCTACAGTACTGGAGCCATGAACGTCACGGCCTCCGTACTAACAATCACCCTTGAAGACATTCGACCAAACAGCCCTCTTGCTATCAGACAGTAAGACAATACATGAACATTGCTCATTTAATACATAAAGAGTGTTTTTAGAGGTCACTCATAATGAACTTAAAATTCCTTTCTTCGTGAGTACTCTCAAATCTCTAAATTTTGAGGTTTGTAGAAGTACAGTACATGTACACTGTACCAGTGACTACATGTACATTTTCCAATTTTTCAGTATACAAGTATAATATGCATAAAGAGATTGTCAAAACAAACTTACAGAGTAGTTAAATCGAAAACATATGTTCACCAAATTATCTTTCTCATTTCTACTTGATGGATAAAGCTGTCGACTTCACATACCTGTAATACAACATTGCGGAATTGTGGATTGACTTTACATACATGTAAATTAACTGATAAGGGAAGCCAGTCACTTTACACATACATGTAGATGCACACACAAAATATTGTATTTAAGACTACTAGCAAACTATTTCATATCATACATGTACATGTAGGATCTATGGGATGTTGCTACAATGCAAAACCCAAATTATACTTTTTATTAAAGGGATTGGGTAACTTTCTGAAACAAAATCCTGAATTATAAACCTTTTGGTCAGTCAGGAACCCCATGACTTTTACAAGCCGATCACCTGTCTCATTATCAAGATATTTATGATTGGAAATCAAAATCAAAATTTGCGTTTTCCCAATGGTTTTCATAACACTACAGTCTATTGGGGAAAACGAGTATGGTAAAACCGGTCACTCAAAGATTGTTACTTTTTTGAGGCACTTCTTGATCATTATGAAGCGCAATTTGTTGTAGGGCTTCAATACTACACCATATCACAGACACTGATAACACGTAGGGCCATGCATCTCAGATTTAACATTGTTAAACTATGCCTTTAAGATCTTTCTTCCTTTTTTTCTCTTTGTAAGGTTACTCCTGAAGAGCAGTAGGAAGGTTCGTCTTCGTACCTCTGCTGCTCCAGGGAGCCCTCCATCCCCCAAGGTGACCCCCATGATAGAGTTCACATACACTCAGGATGAAAACCAGCTACAAACCTGTGAGTAATAGTAACAGCAGTCTACGTAATGTTCCTAATCGTATATTCGAGCCAATGATCCGATTCTGATGAATTCAATATGAAATCATATAATTTGACCCCGATGATAGAGTTCACCTACACTCAGGATGAAAATCAGCTAAAAACCTGTGAGTAATAGGCAATTGTACAGTATCAGCAGATTAGTTAGGTGTACCTAATGTACATGTAATCCTGAATTATACTGACCGATTCTATTCAAGGAATATGATAGTTTTTAAAAAATCTCATGAAAGAATGTGAGCCTAGAATTTGATGGGTACCAGGGTGGTCCACAGGGGCTTTAAACATGTAACAGCAACAGGTTTGAATTTTGAATCCCCCAAAGTGATTCCCATGATAGAGTTCACCTACACGCAGGATGAACATCAGCTACAAACCTGTGAGTAAAAGGGAATCATACAGTATCAGCAGTCTACTTAGTGTTTCTCATTAAATTCAATTCCTCATGAATTTGATATTTCATGTATCGGTGTAAAAATTTCCAACTATACATATGATCAAACAGTGTAGATAATATCAAGTACTTTTATTGACAGCAAGCTTTTGCACTTTAAAACCTTACTGCAAGTTCAAGCTGTCTCAAGAAGCTACCTAGAGAAAAACATTGTTGCACTATTCAATGGGTCATGCAAAATATTACTTCAGACATTTCCTTCAATAATAAAGGAATGACAAGTATTTTTTATAGTATAGTTAATCTTCTGTATATATGCTGTATGTACTTCAGGAAAAGGTTTCTTTATGCTTATCAAACTCTCAAACGTTTGATAATTTGAATAATGTATACATGTACATTGATTGTAAAGGTACATGTACAATGTACATGTACATTTAATTCATGTATTTTGGTTTTTCTTTCTTTATCATAGAAGGTATCAATGTAAACAATCTTTGTACACTACTTTCTTACCCATGAATGGGTATTTCAGGAAACCTTTATGTTTTCTTTATTTCTTTATGTAATTCTTATGTCTACATGTGAGAACATATTATACGTATTATCTCTTGTTCTGTCCCATGCAGTTGACTTCATCATAGAAGGTGTGAGAGTGAACATCTTTGTGCACTATCTACTGGCCATCTATAACTTCCTCAGTAGTGCGTTGACCCAGAGCAAGCTAGAGTCACCGCTCAGTCCCAGCGGTGGACAGACATCCAGACAGACATCTAGGTACGTATTATACCACCCCACCCCTTCTTTCGGTCATGACAACATTTTGACGCATGAATTTCAAGACATGATTATCAGTATGCTGCACGTCAGAGTGAAATAACTTTGGAGATCAAGGGTAAAGTCACTGAGATCATCAGAAATCTATCACTATAATTTTCATGCTAGAATATATCCTTTATCTTTATTGCTCTGTTCAATTTCTACTTGCATATTGTTTTATTGTTGATGAATATGCTATGATCGAAGGCCCATGATTATGCAAATTTAGAGCGGATCATGTTGCTGACTTTGTTCTATCATACACGTAGCTACACAGGTAAAGTCTCGTTTACACATAACAAAACACTGTTGTATACTGTCACATTTTTTGAACATGAAGATGAGTCGCAAGGGGAGATGAAACACATTTTATAGCTGCTCGTAACAAAGGTCCTATGTATACTCATGCATCTGTGTGATATACAGTATAGTACAGAAATGTACAACAACAACAACAAAATACCACGCTTTACCACGTCATATATGAATGAGTCTTTAACGTTGGTTCAAGATCAATATTTTCCCCTTGCCATCTTTGAAATTGCAGGACACTGTCGGTGCAAGGAGGTCCAGTCGGTCAGAGCGTGAGTCAGTCAGAGGGCTTGAACCTCAGGGCTGCGACCCCAGCTAAACCCACCTCTAGGTCACTACAGGTCAAATGCCAGCTGCGGAGGCCAGAGGTGGTGCTGTTTGATGACCCAACCAGTCAGAATAGCCAATGTCTTGTCCTTAGGGTAGGCATGTTTTTATATCATGTGTTTTTTTGCCTTGAAGTTATTGGAGCAACTTTAGAATACCTCACCACTAAAGTTTACCAAACGTTTGTAGGTTACCCAACGCTTCACCAATGAAGCTAAGTCTAAAGACTTAAGTTTCTTAGGTAACACTAACCATAACCCTAACCCTAAATCTAATCTCAACCCTCCCCAATCCCTAACTCTAGGTGTTGGACATTCATGTACCTAAATCCTATTGGTGGGGTATTCTAAAAATTAATCTAGTGTGTTGCTCTTCTGATTGAAAGAATAAAATAGAGGCGTTGTATATGACCTGTGTATATTTTAATTCGAAAGATTTGTTTATCAAAATCTTACTCTGAACAACAGTTGCCACAGCCCATTTCAGGGAAAATGGCAGGAAAATACCAGGGAATCTAGTTTTTATGACATGTTGTGAACCCTTTCTTATTTAATCTTTCATCCTGTAGAGTGTGGGTAAATTTGCCTATAAGAGCAGTGAATCTGGACAGCAGGTAGTTGCCAACTTGGATAAAGTACAGGTCTTTTCTTGCGTCTACTCCCAAGCAATGAGGACAGCTTATCAGGTAAATATATTATCTTTATATGCATGTGCTTCATGTGCTGAGGCCACTGGAAATGATTCAATTCTCAACCTGCTATTGCATTTGTTCATACATGTATAATCAGTGATATCTGTATGATAATGATTATGATCTCGTTTATTTTTCATATAATGACATGTGATACGGAGCTCCATGAAAATATTGTTGATTGAGTAGAACCATGTCTTTGTCATATTAAACCATGTCTTTGTCATATTATGAAAAATGTTATTTTATTTGACTAGTTCATAATTTGACTTCACATCTATGCAATGTGATTAATACCTGTGTATTTTTTTGAACAGGTGCTTGAACCTTGTGCGGTGACCTTTACCCGGGTCACGACCCCTGACCAGGGTGACCTGATGACCGCTGACCTGACTGATGTATGTCTTCATGTATCACCGAGAGTCGTTTATGTCGTCAGGGGGGTATCCGAGGCCCTTACATCCGTCACACAGGTTAGAAAAAATCATTGCTTTTCTACGTTTACATGTATGTGTGCACTATTGTAAATAAGTGCAATATTGTGAAATTGAATCCAATTACTGGGGTGATAATATTATCTGTTCAAATTTACTTGAAACTTGCTCAGTTGCTCTGTTTACATAAAAAGCGGGCATTTGTAATAAGGCAAGTGTGCGACTGGCTGAAAATAGTCTAACTTGGCGCTCAACCGTTTGTAATATGTGCATGAGCATTGTTTGCACTGTATAGCCATAAATACTAGCTGAAAGAAACCTCGAATTGGATACTTTTTTGCAAGGAGGTGCTACTGCATGTATATACAGTATCTGTAGCCTACGCTAGAACTTTGCAAAGTCTGTTTTCAATTTGTAGACTTCTACATGAATCCATACTGCACAAAATGTACCACAGTACCCCTGTTCATTTTAATAGGAAACTAGAATTTGCTTTAAAGCCTATCTGCTCTAGTTTGGCCAGGAGGGATTGGACCTCCCTGCATGGTCACTAACAAGTGGTTATCTCATCAAATCAGCTCTCAATTAACATAAGAAAAAGGGGATCATGGGGGACCAACAAGTACTGCTTAGGCATTGTTTGCTATATAGAGGGGGCACGTAACTACAGGTAGTGCAGTCCCGCTTTAAATAAATATGGTGAAAAGTGTCTTAACTAAAGAACTATTTCTCATTATACAGAAACCTGCCAGTAGCCGACAGCTCCTTGAAGATTATGAGCATGAGGATCTATGGGGTCCTAAACCAATCTTCTCTCACAGCTTCCATAAAAGGAAAGGTAATTATCCCGTCTTTCGGAGGGTGACGTTAAAGGTCGGTCCCCAGACGTAAATAATCATATCTGATTGATACATGTACACGTCTGTAAAAACCCAAATACACACACACACGCACACCGTTCAATACTAAGCCTGTGATAAATGCCCTTTGTCAATGGAAATTTCACAAAAATCAAATTTCATTGAAGAGGATAAATGAGTCTACATATGCTCAATGGTTTTACTTTTCAGGATCATTAAATTTGTTTTTCTTTTACATCCACCATTTGTTTATCTCGACAACCTTGCAGGGAGTATGAAGAACATGGTAGACTTTGCCCCACCTACTGAACCCACCACCACACCCAGGCAGAAGCTGACTGTCCAGCTGCCCAGGTTTGAGGCCTTCATGGAGCTAGAGGAATCTCTGGACCATGTGGCCCTGCTGAGGCTGACCTGTGGTTTCCATGCTTCTGTCATTGACTGGTCCTTCAATGTAAGTACTGACTGTGAGAATCGCACTAAAAGAGAGCGAGAGGGAAAGCTTAATTACTCATTGCCTGTGCTTGTTGGTGAATGAACCATGTGACTGACTGTTCCGGTGTCAAGGTTTGAGGCCTACATGGAGCTAGAGGAAGCCCTGGGCAATGTGGACCTGCTGAGGCTGACCTCTGGTAGGATGACGAAACCCTTAGTGTTAGTAAGTGCCATATATGCCCTCACGGTGACCATGTGGTAGGAATACTCCGCAGGGAGTTCAGATAGTGCACATGGTGCATATTGTATTGTATTTTGATTAATTTATTTAAAAAAAGTTATAATTCAATTTGTTCATTTTTTCTTTGTTATTTCAGTTGAGAGCCGAGGCTGAGATGCATCTTGGTATGACATCCTTCAATGAGAAGCTTTCAGTGTGGGAGCCCATCATCGAACCTGTCATGGCAAAAGAGGGGGATTACAGACCATGGGAAGTCACTGCAAAGGTAATAAGATGATGGTGATGATAATTGTGCTGATTTTTGTTGATGATGATGATGATGATGATGATGGTAGTGGTGTCTATGATGATGATAATGATGGTGATGATGATGTTACAGAGCATGTGTGATCGTAGTCCTGATAGTCAAAGAGACATTGTAGAAGATGATGGTGATGTAGATGATGATGTATTTTTATCATCTATCATTTGTCAGAGTCGCTCTATCAAGTTTTACATTGTTTACATCGTTTCTGACCATAGTTCTGATTGTCCAAGAGATAGTGTAGATGATGATGATGATGATGTACTGTCATGTGTCATTTTTTAGTTGACGCGGGCAGAGAGTCACCCGATCAAGTGTTACAGCATGTGTGATCGGAGCCCTGATGGTCCGAGGGACAGTGTCGATGGTGGTATCCAGCTGGTCCACACCCCTGGTTCCTACCCGGTGACTGAGACAGACTCTGACAGCGACACGACCAGTGAGACAGAGCTGGAGTGGGATGGACATTACAGCAGTAGCTTCCTCAGCAGCGGTGAGTTTCATTCATTTTTACCTTCTTTTAAGTGATTCATTCAGGCAATGATTCATTAACAGCCCAAGAAAGAAAAACAAAGAAGATGCAGTAAATTAAAATGTAATTGATGTATTGTTCTATGTAATATATTTATATCCTGACGATGATAGTACTACCCCTCCTCTCCTACCGGCGCTATAGTTTCCTTTAGAACTATATGCTCTAGAAAGATTACCAACAGTCCTTTTCAGGACTCCCCAATCCTCCCCCTCTCTCTCTCACGGTATAACCGTAAGCCTACTGTATATCTACATCACCATGCAAGCCGATACTTATAAGCAGCATCTAACATATTAAAACACTCACCGGTAAAATTGGTAATATGACATGTACATTTATACATGACATGCCCTAGGTGATGTATGCTTAGGGCTTGAAATTTATTTTGTTCAAGATACAGAGTATGAATAGCGATATGGTAAACGTTTTCTGACATACATGTAGTATAGTGTTTAGTCCAAGCCGTTAAATTTAGAATTCAACTCGTGTAAGAAATCCATGGTGAAGCTGTAGATGGAGGATGTGTCTAACAAGAAATATTAACATTCTATGAATTTAAAATTTGGAAATGAATTTCAGACATTGCAAGCCCTCAGGACGAAGACAGGAACCCACCGACGGAGAGCAAGTCTGAGAACGAAGATGATGATGAAGACGAGGGAGGATTCTTCAACAAGGTGGAGAATATCTTCAGGGACATATTCACGAGTGATTCGGAGGAAGAGGAGGAGGCTGCTGGAGGTTTGTATACTAATGCATGTTAACACTGCCTTAAGAGGAAAATAGTTTAACACCTATCTCATGTCTCGCATTGAAAATCAATAAAGGGAGTGTTCATTACATTGAGTTTGTTTAATCACCTATGGAAAAGAATTATTCTTTGAGGGAAATAATCATGATTGCAAAATTGTGAAATCTAAATATCTTTAAAAGAATGCAATTGCATTGTTGTACATTGTATGAGTAGAGAGACTGCACAGCCGAAGAAGATGCAACCACCCAAGATAACCTTATACGGGGAAGATGGTGATGAGGGGGAAAGTATCATCTTGCGGCTGGCAGAAGGGCTTACGTGCGTTGCGCCATTCTGATAAAAATGTGGGCGTACACTATTGTATTGAGTCTTCAAAATATGTGCTTATGTGACATGTTACTACTGGAATTAGGTATTTTGATTCCATTCCTTTGCTTTATTACTTGATAAAGAGAGAAATCTCTGTCATGTTTACAAGTTGGAATAATAGTGTTCAAATCAGTCAAAATATCATAAGCAAATTATCAGAACTTTTTGCTTTGAGGCGTAAACATGTGCTGATGTCCTTCTGCTAGGTGCATGCTGATATGATCATTGACTGAAGGAAATGTAGGTATCTTTCTTTAAAATGCGATAGCAAGTACATGTACAATGTACATGTATGTTTATAGTTTAATTACTATATTATAAAACACAGATTTCAATTTATGTGTTTTAATATTGATTATCATGTAGGAGGTAGAAGTGAAACGGATGGCGGTAGGAGAATGGAGTTGGCTCTATCAGCAGGAGTGAATACAGGGCAGTCAGATAGTGGCATATCATCATCGGCAAGGAACTCAAACTCACTAGCTGGCTCGGAACCAAGAGGTTTGTCAAATATTTGAGGTTATGCAGAGTGGGACAGACACAGAGACAGAAAGAGGGAGAGAGGAGGAAGGGAAAGAGAGAGAGAGAGAAAGAGAAAGAGAAAGAAAGAGAGAGGGGGATGGATGGGCTGGAAGTTAGAGAGGTATTGGAACAGTGGAACATCATCGTCATCCAGGAACTCAAACTCACTGGGTATATATAGCTCACTAGCTAGCTCAGAACTAAGAGTTTTGTGAAATATTTAATTTTTCACAGAGAGTTGAACAGAGAGAGAGAGAGATGGAGAGGAGGGGTTAAACTTTGGGCAAGGAATGCATCCTCAATTACCAGTCCCTCAGATAGAATATGAAGCCATGTGTACCCTGAATACAAGCATCCTTTTCTCACCCAAGCAAAATACAACAAGAATTTTATTTTTTTCATTGTTTTGTTGTTATTGCTATTTTTCTCTCTTGTATTCCATATCAAATAACATCGAGTACTTTCTTCTTCCAGATGAAATGGATAGCGATACAGAGGTCACCGATGTGGAGACGATGGCCAACTACATCATCGTGAACTCACAGGACAAACTCCAAGTGACGGTGACCCCTGTCTCACTGGGGATCGTGAAGGACCTTGCTGAGGCTTTCAGTACAGTCCCAGAACCACAGCTACAGGTAAGGGGTGGTGGGATGGCTGATAGGGGGTGTCAAGATGATGGGAGTCATGACAATAATAACCCACCGTGGAGATAGCAATTGTACTAATGACCCTTAAATATCCACATTATATATATACAAATTGAACGTCTTAACATAACGAACTGAAGGCAACTAATATTCAACCACTTCATCCTTTCCTTTTTAATTATTCTTTAAAATAACAACAGTAAATAACTACTAAAAATTTACTGACATTATTAATTTTGTAAACACAATGCCACAGGCTATCGTCGATCCAACAGAGCAAATATACCGAGAGAGGACCAGAAACTATGCCCTCTCACATTGCCTGGCAAAAATCATCCAACGACGGTGAAAAACACCATTAAAACCAACAACAACAACAGATCTTTTACAAATGGAGCCGTCCCACTTTGTGCATTTTAGAATGTGATGGAGGTGCTTCATGAATTACCTGTTGTGTGCCCGGTTTAAAAAATGATTAACCATGGGTGCATAAAGGAATGATGATTACACAACTTTCATGAACACATATCCATCAGTCCTTACGATAGGTTTTGTAATAATAACCTTTATCTGCCCATGACCAGATAGTATCTCAGAAGATGCTTATTTTTTTTTATGCCTGATTTCTTTTTTACTTTTAGTGGAGTAATTGGGTTATTGGAGATGGTGATCGAGAATATTTAAGCACTCTAACGGTGATAATTATGTCCTTAATTGGGATGAGAATAATGAAAAGGATGATGATGATATGATGACAAAATGCTGGTGATCTTAGTGATGATGATGTTGACGATGATATGGGTGATGATGATGTTTACTGTGATGATGGTGTTGATGCTGATAGTGATGATGTGATGATGATAATAAAGATGAGGAAGGTGATGCTGATGATGATGTAGATGATGATGTAGATGATGATGATAATTATGGTGATGATGATGATGACAATGTAGACGACGAGGATGATGATCAGGATGATGATGACGACGAAGATGATGATAATGATAATGTAGAGGATGATGACGTGGATGATGACAACGACAATTTTTGAATGTGAATAACATACAAACAATGATTGGCAATGGGCTTTTAATGGATGGTAGCAGGGATGAACTTGTTTTGTGTGGTAAACTAATGATGATTATGATATTAATGATAGTGATGTGAATGACATCTTTCTAACAGATAATGAGGAGTATACCAGAAGCATCCACTCAAATAGTCAACACAACAGGCTTGAATGCAAGACTACTAGTGCCTTCATCTTTCATTGTAAGTACATATACATTATCTATTTTCTTTACATACAATCAATGAAATATCCAATTGTAAATTGATAGTCCTGTATATATGCATACAAATGTACATGTATATGTAGCTTAACAATCTTCTCTTCCTGTGTCTGCAATATGCAGTCTGTTTGGAGTCAGAAGAGTTAACTGGGAGGGATATTCTTCCTTTCCTACAAAATGGAATTGAATTGAAAATTAAAACTCATATACTTTAACACACAGATAACGCCCTTCTGGCTCTGAACGGACGATACACTGCATGTGATTCACAAATATCACTTGAAACTATATACACTGTACTGTACTTTCGCACATTTATACTTCATATTGTCATTTTACTCTCATATACCGGTACTGTAATTATCTCATAAATGTGAGCCATAAAGGGTTCTTTGTCTCTTTGATGATTTGGGAGGGGTATTCTTATTTTTCTACTCTTGTACTTCATTTTCTTAGAGAATTCAATAAATAAAAGTTGCATAATGTTGTATGATGCATGTGCAACTTATAAATTGTAGATAGATAGATAGTCGAATTTATTTCACTCCTCATAAATTTTTTTTTTAGATAAAATACATACAGTATCGCATACATAGAAAGACAAATTAACATAAGTTACAAAGATAATTATACATTGTGTATGTCTATGGCATTTTGTATTGAAAGCTGCATGTTTCCTCCTCTCATCATCATGCTATATAGGAGAATGCAGAGTCTGTGGGTATCAGCCTTGTACCCATCAATGGGGGACTGGTGGCACCCAGCAGGGCCAACCACCAGCCCCTCACACCAGAGGAGACCCACGGGGTCGACGCCCCTGATACAGCCTCGCCCGATCCCGAGGATCCCTTAGAAACAGAGGGGTAAGTTATGGTTTCAGACAGCAAAGTCTGTGAATGTCCCTTTAATGATATGACAATATTCGGGCACCTTGCTGCCCAAGTATCGCCATGGTTCGGGCAGCATGGCGCCGGAATATAAGCTTATATATTGTAAAGTTATGTCAAAATGAAATTCAGTTTGCCTGTGTTTTAGAGCAATTTTTGAAGTCGTCAAGACCTCTTTCAGACTTTCTTGAACTAAATCACTCAAAGCTCTTGTATTTGTGTACAGTGTATGTATGTTTGTTTATTAATCCCTCAATCTCAATCTCTGTTTTTTTGTATGTTCCTTTAGGTATATACTGGGTTAGTGGTTTCATTCACAAAATTGTAATGCATTCATTGCTACCTTCATATTTCTTATGATCATTAATCTCTCTTATTGTCTCTCAATCACTGCTAGGCTTGATGACTTAGAGGAGGTGGTTCGGACTTCCAAGTACTGCAAGGAAAAGTCACATGTCTCTTGCATTTCAGCAGACGAGACAGACAGCGGTGCTCAGGATGTCAATCAAAATGGAGTCACGCTAGAGGTATGCTCGTTATATACATAGTAGATGGGGATTTTTAAAGCCAAATTGGCAACACTATTTTTTTCTGTTACGCGATTCCCATGAAAGGTTGTGAATCTAAAATGTAAATACGTTAATTGAAATTTATGTGGGCTTTAAAATGCCAATTTTAGGGAAGACAATTCTTTAAATCTATAAATGTATTGCTAATTTGAAGATTTCAGTTCCTATTCAAGATTTTGTAGGATCCGGTATGTATTTTTTCCCTGTTATTAAAGAAAGCAAACAAAACAACAACAATTAAAAAACATATTATTGCACCTAATTTTTCAATTGGCACCAAGCCATTTACATCTTTCACTATAAAGAAAAGCACTGCTGTTCAACTAACAAATCAATATATACTCAATTTAAATTGATTACTCAATATTTAATATACATGTAAATATCAATATTTACTAATCAGATATATATTGTATTTACTTTGTTTGTTAGTCTACAGTAAGAGTGATAACAAAATTAATTTGCTTAAACAATATAATACTGGACTCTACTTGACTGTTGATCGTGTTTAAATGTGTACAAACTTTTGAACTCTGTATGTTTTTCTAATATATTTGTTTGTGTTGAAAATCTATTATTTGTAAGAATGCAGTCTAAATAATCATTTAATAGTTGTACATCCTGAAATGTGAAAACCAAATGAAACTTGGTCTATTGTACATACATTAGTCAGATGTAGCAAAATTCACAATGCTCTTTTCATCCATTTAGAACATGATAACTTTCTAGAATCTTTTAATAACTTGAAAGTATGTAATACCGGTACATATAATTTAAAACGTATGTACATGTACTATTGCATTAATTACTTCTTTGTTTCTCCATTTAGTACTTTCAAATCCTGAAAAGAATTTTGCAAATTTATTGCAGGCTATACACTATATTAGAAAGATTTTTCAGTATTCATATTTTCTTCATTCTGTATGAAAATTGAGAATTGAGGTGTTACCCGTAGTAGTAGTAACATGTTACTAATTTGAAATACACCTGTATGTATAATGAACAACTGCATGCATGATTATACTTTTATTATCCTCCATTTACTTTTTTTACATCATGAAAAATCATTTAAATTTTCTGCAAACATTACTTAAAACCTGCTCTCTATTTCTCCTGAACAAGGTCGATGGATTCCGATCCCTGACTAATCTGATTCCTGCTATTGCCGGCACTTCTCTTTATCCTCTCTCTCCTTCTAACTCTCAGGCAAGTAATATCAGCTGCATGTTACTTGTTCATAGAACACATATACAGTTGCATGTACATGTAGGTGAGGAAATCATCTGTTTAATTGTTGGTTTGTTTGTTTTACCTGACTGCTAAGAAAGCATGTGTATGCTTGTAAGTAAGCAACCAGGGGACTGACGGCTTTAAGTCCTCTCCAAGGGTTAGAATTATGTAGAAAGCTGATTAGATAAGAGGATAATTTTATCCAAGCTTTGACTGTCATAATGTACACGTGTCTAATTATTACTCTTTTTCATCTTCCTACATAGTTTTTTAAAGTTAGACTCTAATATTACAGTATGTGCCAATTTCTGTAAATGAAAAATCATAAGCATTACATTTTTTGAATACATATGTTATATATTCCACTCTTTCACTTTTTACATGTACACGTTCATTCATACATAGAATGATATTTATTTGATGTTAATATTTGTATATTACATATCCTTCTGTCATAAATCGAAAGTGTTTTTCATATGCAGATTTTCTTAATATCTAATTCACCGTATTTATTGAAGTTTATCATTACATTTTTCTATAATTCATTTTATTGTTTGTAATTGCATTTAACATTAAAGTAACATTGTACAATGTATAGCATATCTCCGAAATCCCTGCATGGTTTCCACATTGTGTAAGTATGTATTTCACGGGAAATGTAGATAGTCATTTTGTACATGCATGTATTTATTTTGGTTTGTGCAGTAACATAACATACAAATACAATTTAGAGCCTCATAGAAAGCAGTTTTTAAACAAAATCAGCATCCATGTGTATGTGTATAAAGTGCAAGGCCCTGTTTCATAAAAATCATTATTAATAATCAATGTTACATTTTATTTGACAAGTTTGCTCTCAGCCAATCAAGTGCCACAATTTCAGAACCTTGTATGTGTAGCGCTTGGATACTTTCATATATTCTCAACCAAGATGTTAACATTTAGAGAAATAAATTACATATTTTTTCTCCAAAAAACAGTCTGACAAGATCTATGGGATTGTACGTGAGGTTGAGATCAGCCATGGTAAAGAGAGAATCAAACTCAGATCACCCCTTCAGGTAAGGCTTTATCATCTGCACAGAGCTATATCCCTCGGTAGATGTAATAATAATGCCTTTTGCGTTCTGGAAAATCCCTTGGACTGACAAAGTTAGTAATGAGGAAGTTCTTAGAAGAGCTGAAGTGCAAAGGAAAAATGATAAGTAAGATGTTGATTAGGCAGTTGAAGTTCATGGGTCACATTACACGTAAAGAAGGCCTAGAGAATCTTGCTTTGAAAGGGAAAACTTGGGGAGGAGGAGTAAGGGAAGAAGGAGGATACTTTGGATGGACAGTCTGCAGAAATTATTAGAAGAGAGAGGAGTGAAAGAACTGGGAGTGGTCCTAATGAACAGCATGATCGCCAAAGTCAATCGATATGGCACCTAGAGAGAGAGAGAGAGAGAGAGAGAGAGAGAGATGTAAATACAAATGATTCCCTTATTGCTCTTATTATGAAAAAACATTTCTGTGCATGTTTCTTGTGTGTTGTTGCTGTTGTTGTTATTTGAGTGTATGAAATATATAACACAAGTTTGACTTCTTGTTGAAGGGAATTGGTAACATTGTTGAGAATGTCAAAACATGCTTTTAGTATGGTTCTCTATGCATGATATTAATAATAGGTATATAATTAACCATTTATGAAAGCATGAAATAAAAAGAATATTATTTATCTTCTAAAAATGTGAAAGAACATAATGGACTTTTCAAAAAAAAGATTGTCAAAAAGTAACAACTATTCAAATTTCAAGCAAAAAAACAAATAAAACATTGTATTGTGTTTCAGTGGTCCAAAAAAAAGTCCAATGGCTTCTATTGGTAAATCAATAATGATAAATCAAAATCGATTTTAGCAACTGTCCACCAATTCTCATCTGAATTTACTACAGTCCATTTATGTCTACAAAACATTATTGAGCACAATACTTGGGAATATTGAAATGTGAGGTTTGTATACAGGGCTCAAATTAATTTTTTGTCCACGGGGGCTCTTCCCCCCCAAAAAGAGCCCCCGTGAGCCTTCTCACGGGGGCTCTTTTAGTACTGACGGGGGCTCTTTTTGTATACAAAAGTCCATTGAATTGGTACCTATGATACTCCTTAATTATTTGCTATTTCATCATTATCATTTCAATCAGCATTTTCCCTCTTACAAATTTACAAGCTACATAGCTGTTACTGGCAATTTTATATACGCATACAACACTGATCTTTATGATGTCTTTAACGTGACATATCTTCTTCTCCCCTTGCAAACGAGAAAGAAAACAGGTCATTAAAAGGGATTAAGCGACAAATAATGATTGTGATTCAAATTGATGCGAATATTTGTTTGAATAAGCACTGCTATTCACCCGAATCTTCTTTGTAAAAACAACTTTTACAAATCTCAGCCATGCTTACTGAGTTGAGACGTTCCATTCAATGTAAAATACTCATTAAAGAATACACTTCTCCTAATCTGAAAGTGATCTTACAACACAGTGGCAGATTTGCAGGGCTGAGATTTGTAAAAGTCGTTTTTACAAAGAATATTCTGGTGAAAAGCATTGCTTATTCAAAAAAAAAATCCTTGCATCAATTTGAATCACAATGATTATTTGTCACATGATCCTTTTATTAAATAACCTTGTTTTCTTTTTTTGTTTGCAGTGTTTGCACTGCGAGCTGAATCGGTAATAACTAGGCCTACTCATAAAACGAGAAATCTTGCACGCTAATCTAAATTCCATTTCATTGGTTTAAGGTTTAAAAATTGAAACTCAATATTGTGTTAAAGTTATAACAGAAAAGATAATCTTTGTTTTATAATTCCACGGGGGCGATTTTTAATTTTGCAATCGCCCCCGTGAGCAACCTGACGGGGGCGATTATGTAGCTCACGGGGGCGAATCGCCCACCGCCCCCGTGTATTTTGAGCGCTGTTTGTATATATATCTTAATAACAAGTTTATCACCATAGTCAGGTGTCAGGTGTTTACATTTTGAAATGGAAGTGGGTATTGAAAATACTGGACTGCAAGCCTACAAAATATTCTCAGTAATCACTCCTAATTTCCATCCGTCTTTCTTTCTTTCCCTTTTTCTTTCTCTCTCTCTCTGTCTCCTTGAGCAGGTAGCCAACCACTGCTTGGTAGCAGTGCAGCTGTTCTACAAGAAGCTTGATCTGCAGACCCTCCATGGGGCCATCATACCAGGGTTGGATGAAGAAGAGTTCACCAGTCTTGGTATCATCCAGCCGGAGGAGGTGATGGACATACCGGTCATCGTGGCCTACCATGCGGGCATCTATGCATGTCCAGTAGACCAGGGGTAAGACTATAATGATAATGATCAAGATGATGATGAAGAGGAGGAGAAGGAGGAGGAGGAGGATGTGGATAATGGCAATGATGAAGATGGTGTTGGTGATGGTGATGATGATTGTGAATGGCGATTGTAATGGTGACAATGACAGTGATGATGATGGTGATGGCGATGATGAAGATAACGATAAAGGTGGTGATGGTAATGATGTTGATGATTATGGTTATCATGATGGTGATTGATGATGGTGATGATGATCTGGTGATGGTGGTGATGATAAGGAAGAGGAGGCTGAAGAGATGAAGGAGGGTGATGATATTCATGGATGCCTCATTTACACTGTTTAGCTGGATTCAGAACTTCTCATTCTTTGCACATTCATATCTCTTTCCTATCATGAAATTGACTTTCATCTTTACCATTTTTTTCCTGGCTAGGCTCATGCTTGCTCTTATCACATCAGTGATATTATTTCAGATTTGAAAATCATTCTCAAGCTCCACATAGGAATTCATTATCATCATCATGTACATGTACAAGTCATTCATGGGACATGGGTATGCATGCCCATTGCATCCATAATGTGATCTTGTTGGGATTGAAAATGTAATTCTATGCAATTTCATGTAAACGCGTGCATGGCTCTTTCACATCAAGTCAAAAGTCAATGATTTAGCTATCTTTTTTTCACACGCTGTTTAGTGCATACCCTTTTCACACAAACATTGTGATCTCTGACTTTAAACAAAGGTTCATGTACCACATGTAATGCATATGCATGTCCTGTTCACATCAAGTAACTGAAATCAGCTTTGACCTCTATCTGTACATACAAACATGTACATGTACACGCATACCCCATTCACATCATGTACGCGATCTCATACCACACTGTATCCATGCAATGAAAATGCATGCCCCATTCACATCAATAAAATGATCTCAGACTTGAACATGTTGTTCATAGGTATGGTGTGAGTGAGAAGCCCATCCTGTGGAAGGATCTACAGGAACCGGCCGAGATGTCCTACCTCTGCCCACCGAGCAAGAGAGGAGCGCTTCCACCATTCTACTTCAAGGTCAGTATTAAAACATGTGTACAGTATTTTAGATTGTATTATGATGTATTTTTAAATAATAAATACATAGCAGCCCAAAAGCTGAATTGCATATCGATTCACAATAAAATACAGTCAAACTTGTCTATAGTGACCACCCAAGGGAAACACAAAAAGTGGTCTTACATGTAGTAGACAGTAATCTTTGTAGACAGGTTCCTTTAGTACATGTTTCAATGAGAAACCACTTTAAAGGGAAACAAAAAATGTGGTCTTTGTAGAGAGGTGGTCTTTGTAGACAGGTGGTCACTAAAGCAAGTTTGACTGTAGCAGTAAAATCGCATTTGAGTTTACATGAATATACATTAGTCTTAACAATTTGAAAGCAAACCATAGTTCAAGTCAGTACATTATAAGAAGAAGAATCCTAGTATTCCTAGGGACATTGTTTTGTCACGCTGAAGGAGAGAGAAGAGTGAGATGGAGAGAGAGAAATAGAGATATGACCTTAGCTGCATGTAACTTGTAAGATGGAAAATGTCAACTTAAATAAATAATAATGATGATGAAAATTTAGGAGTGTCAAGGGTAACAATTAAATGGAAATTTGAAATAAAACTCTAATGTTATCTATACATGTATCAGTATTATTTTTTGTATTGTATAATTGTTCATATGTGCTGTCATTATTGTGATGTGTTGTTAATAAATTCAAATTCAAATTCAATTCAATTCAAAAGAGCCCCCATCAGTACTGAAAGAGCCCCAGTGAGAAGGCTCAAGGGGGCTCTTTTTATTTTTTTTGGGGGGGGGGGAATTTATTATTATTTATTAATTTGGGCCTTCCAAAAACATCTAAGCTCACAAAGATGTAAACAATTATGTTTGCATTTATTTCCCAAATTCTCTCTTATAATTTTGTGCAATACTGTAGGTGAAGAGGAAAGACGAGAAGATCCCTCGCCCAGAGGGGTTAGAAGATGCCCCCTGTTACACCCTCAATCTCTACCCACCGGTCACGTTACATAACTACCTCCCCTATGATGTCGTCTACACCCTAGAAGTAAGTTGATTGGTTGATTGAAGGATTTTGATAATTATCTATTCTCGCAGTCCAAAGACTGAATTAAAATGGGTACAAAAGTTTACAATGTATATACATGATAAAAGCAATTATACAATATCGTTGCTGTTTTCACGAAGTGACGGTAGTGAAAAAAAATTGCATTCACTTTGCGTTACGATTTTCCTCACTACCGTCACTTCGTGAAAATAGCAACGATATTATTAAAACAGTTCAGGCAATCAACATTGAAATTCAAATAAAAGTGATATTCAGACTGCTAAAGTGTTAAAACATGATGAAATTATGGAACAGATCATTGCAGGCATCAGCATCAAACAGCGCCCTGGAAATTTCTTGCATGTAACGTAACTATAGAATTGCTGATGATTACCATACTTTATTGGAACAACTTGATGTCGGGTATACAGAGATGCCAAATGTTTCATTTTTGCCGTATTTGTTTCGTTGTTTTGCTATGAATACGGCAGTACGTTTTTTGTATGTATTGTTACGTTTTTTTTTTGTTTTTTTTTTTTTTAGTGAAGTTTTTCTTAATTTCCGATTTGTGTCGTAAGTGTATTATGCACCTATGTCTTCAAACGATGCATGCAGGACGGTGATACGGGCCCCAAACTGCGCACATTGCGAACAACCCACGATTACTGTATGCACGTCGCGCTCCGATCCGGGTACGTATACGTGGTACTGCCATTTTTTTTAAGCTGCTCGATTGGGCGATACACTGTATGTTGAGAGATTCATAAGGTGAGAGATTTTTTCAAAAATACTTTTTTTTGCTCTTAAGAATTCTTTTTTGTTTTTGATGAAGGTTGGCATCTCTGGATATATAGCCAAATGATGTCAAATTCCCTGTGGAAACCTACTAACAGATGTTTTTCAAATCTTGTTTTACATGCATTGTTAATGTACAATGTACATGTTTGAATCCTGTGGAAGATTATCATTTTACATACCAGTATATTTTATTTTACTGAATGACAGGAAACAGGTCTGAAGTTCTTGTTGAAAGGAGACAAGATGGCGATATACTCCACAGATCTGTCTGAACCACAAAGCATGAAAATTCAGGTAAGAATATAGGAGGAAAATAAAAAGAATATGAGAGAAGCCTTTCTTTTGCTTTGATTGTGACAGAATTGTAATTTTTATAAATTCCAATTATCCAGTTGATATTGAAATATATCTACACATAATAAAGAGACTTATAATATTTTATTCTTGTGTAGTGCACCTGGCACTCGTAAACACATACACACTCATCAGTCTGCAAGAATCTTCAACTATGAAGGAGGTTTGATGATCCCCAGTTGTGAACTTTTTAAAACAAAAGACAAAATCACACACTATCCTTAGAGAGATGTCATTTTTTGACCTGCTTGAGAATAATGTGACATTAGACAAACTGGCTCCATAACCATTTATGATGACATTCCTTTTTTTTCATACAATGCACATTACAGTCTAATGAACGATTCCTTGTTGTATTCCTGACAGGTCAAACAGTATCTCTCTGCAAACTGGGAGGGGCATCTCCCGGTCTCCAGGGAGATGAAGACAACAGAATCCATCACCATGGCAACCAAGCAGGTTCACTCTGACCAGCGCAAGTACCTGACGCTGTGGGCCCACAGCTCCAGCGAGGGAGGATCATGGGATATCTTCCTCTACTCGCCGTACTGGTTCGTCAACAAGTCAGAGCTACCAGTTGAAATAAGGGTGAGAGCTTTGATACGCCAGGAGAGCCAATGTCCTGATCATTCTTTTATTTGAATATTATGGTCATTCTTAGGGTCAGCCACATGTGTAATTCAATGATCCATTTGGTTTAATTATATATATATCTCTATATGAAGACTCTAATTCCAAAAGGAGCTAAATCGATTTGTGTAACTTCAGAGAAAAAAGAAATTGTCTACCAGATTTGTTTACAATCAATGGAAAAGTAATATTAGAAGGTGAATTTTTTCATAATTTAGGTAAATACTTTTGTTGAAAACTCAATTTTCATCAAAAGTGGATTTAGCTCCTTTTGGAATTAAGCTCTTCATATGCTTCTGGAGAATTATGATACTGTATATTTACAGTATGTAGCAATTGTCTTTCAGAGACGATGTAACTTATTTCATACATTTTTTTTCCAAACCCATCTTATTTTTTTAAATAGGCATCTCGATCAAGGAAGATCTTCAGCACGCACTCCCTAAGTGATCCAGTTCTCTTTACGTTCTCAAACTCAAAGAGGAAAAAGGTGAGCTTGTAATTCCTTGGAAATTTGAAGATGTCTATGTACTGTATACATGTGCCTGTTCAAGTAGGTCTTTCATGATTATTTCAAGTGAACTCTTTTTATCATCTGACTTCAAAGATAAGCTTGAGCCAAACGATTTTAGTAGAAAATGTATTGAGGCTGAGTAATGAGCACAGAAAGATAAGGAAATCAAGGTAAGTAGGCCCGACACGATGTGCTTATTTACACAGTACAGGTCACTATATGTGCAAATTATTTTACTGGTTCAAACAATCAATCTACTGCAGGAGAAACAATCAAGAATTTATTAAAGCCATGTTCTCTCAACATTCTCATACCAGAGCTCAAGATTAGCTCTAATTTTACATTTACATTGTATCTATTGTTTCCTTTCAGGCCAAGTTGAGAGTGTTTGATTCCATCTGGTCATCTTCTTTCTCCTTGGACACAGTAGGGAGCTCAGGGGTCGTGATCTGTAAGGACGAAGATCACGACAGAACGTATCAGGTGGGTAAAATACTCTTTGTGAAACACTCCCCATATGATATAGCCTTACCTGGAGGGGTGATCTGAGTTTGATTCTCTCTTTACCGTGGCTGATCTCAACCTCACGTACAATTCCATAGATCTTGTCAGACTGTTTTTGTGGGGAAAAAATATGTCTGTATGCAAGCTTACGTACATGTATTTACAGCAAAATGCTTCTTCTAAATATCTAGACTGCACACAGTGTTCTTCAACATATGTCCTGTCCTGTCATGTTGTACATATTTAATGAAAGAGTCAATGGATAAACCGAGAGCTTGGATTTTTATTTTCAAGTTATCGCTCTGTAAAGAAACAACATGCATGTAGGTATGTGCTAAACTATGATTGTCTGGAGCCCTGAAACACAGCTTAGTAATTAATCTTTTTTGTAATCCATATTTTTAGGATTCTGTAAGTTTTCATTTTCATTTTTGGTAGGATTCTTCTTGTTGTAAGCGCTTTGGGCCACCCTGGGAAAAGCACAGTATATAAATAATAATAATGATAATGATAATAATAATTGATTGCTAAGCTTTGTGTTAGATAAAATTGTCATAAAAACTTTAAGATCCTCCATGAGCCATAACTCAATGAATAAAAACAAATAAAATGTTTACATTGACACATTTATATTGGCAACAACATTTTATATCTTTTTCTATATCATCAATAATATCTCTTAACATATATTGTACTAGATCTTTTGTTAAATGATTTATTCCATTTACTGTACTTGTGATTTCTTTTGTGATTGCTCATAGTTTTGGCTGGACATCCGTATGTCTCACCTACCCTTCACCAAGCTAGTCACCCTCACACCCTACTTCCTCGTACATAACAAGTCTGACCAGGAGCTGTCCTACGCGGAGGATGGGGTCAAAGCTGGGGTGTGGGTCAATATTAAACCCTCAGAGGTAAGAAGGGGAAAAGATAGTTGGGAGAGGAAAGGGAGGTTGGGAGGGGGGTTGAGTGAGGGAGTGCGTTCATCCACAACAGGAATGACTTAGAGCTATCTACCCTGAGGGTGGGGTCATATGTGGGTCAATATCAAACCTTTAGATGTATAAAGAAGGGCTTGAAAGGATAGGGAAGGCGAAGGAATATTGGGGGAAGGTGAAGGAAATTGGGGAATGGAAAAAGAGGTTTGAGGAGGTGATGGGAAGGGGTAGTGTCATATCTACAAGAAAACCAATCAAGAGTTGTCCAATGCTGTCTAATGGGGTCAAAGCCTCCCAGTTTCCAGAGAGATGAAGACAACAGAATCCATCACCATGGCAACCAAACAGGTTTGGATCAGTATCAAGTCTTTATAAAAAGCCCATTAAGACTTGATTAGGAGGGGAGACCATATAATCTGGAACTTTGTGTTACTTGACGCTAGTTTTCTATCACACTTGAATTACTTTATTAGGTGCTTCCATTCTGGCCCGGCTCTGAGTCCATGAAGCTCATACTACGGAGGTCAACGACCCCTGATAACCTGAGTTCACGACCTTTCCTGATAGACAGACCCTGCACCACCGTTCTTAGAATGGAGAGAGGGGTAAGTCACCTAACAGTAGTTACAAGTGTTAATTATTTTTGGACTTTGGAACATTGTCTGCAGGGTAAACCTGTATGTCGAGGAACGCAAGGAAATGACTGTGATATTAATGATATTACATTCCTATCATATACCTCAGGGCACTCACCAGTCTGATATCATGTTTCTTTACAGACTGGTATCACAATTCAAGTTGAAGGAGGTGTTCAAGAGCCTACTACTATTACATTCCTAGCATATACCTCAGGACATTCACCAGTCCGGTTAGATAACCTGTGTGATGACCTCAACCTTAGAATCAATCAAAAGTAAGTCACCTCTGAAAAAAGAAAACAATTTGATGTGTGTTTATGCTTATTATTGTATGCATGGAATAATGTAGCATTACTGTGTTGCCATATATTAATTAGGCATGTTTACTGGTTTTCTAAACTGATGAAAGATGTTTCTCAGGCACAATAATCAATGAAGTTCTAAAGTCCTATCAACTTGTACAGAGCTAAGATTAATATCAAATTACGATTGGTTTGACAGGATTTGAACCTGCATATATGCAGAAATGTTGGATGAGCAGCAATTAGAGTTGCATATCTACATGTATGTTATAAAAGCTAAATTTACACATTGCTTTTTGAAAGGTATACTTGGCCATCAAACCTGTCGTCTATAATCTGCGTTTTAGTGTTATATTAGGAATCTCAAATGATTTTAAATCTCTTGCTCATAATTAATAATGATGTAGCGCAGATGACCTCTCATTGCCATGTAACAATGTGGCAAGTAAAAATTGACAGAAAATTGAATGGTAATTATTGAAGTGATAAAAAACTATGAAACATCTTTTTTGCAGGAACAATGGAAGTCGTCACCTAGTGCGGCCTCACCGCAGTCTGCTGTACACATGGGATGACCCCACTGCAGAGAGGATCCTGATGTGGAACCTCTACAATAGGAATAAGAAGAGCTTTGAATGCCTAGTTGAGCAGGTAATCATTGCAATGACTCAAGTAAAAATGATCTTATGGTCTAAAGTTTGTCAAGTTTCAGAATTGTATTCATTTATTTTGAAAAATTCCCTAAAAAGGACTATATATGTAGTTTAAACACATGGGCCCTTATTCTGGTGGAATTTGAATCTGATCTACATTTGCCACACTCAACCCAGGTGATGTAAATGGGTACCTGGCAGAAATTAATTCCTTGAAATGCTAGAGCACAGTAATGGTAGCTGTGCTAAAGCCAGGGTAACAATCTCCCTCTGCGCCTCAGAATAGTTTACTAGATTGATGGCGCATAGCAAATGCTGTAGAATTATTATTATTATTTATTCTTCTGTCTGAAATTGGTTAAAGTAAGTTAGTCTGAGGTCTGATTTTTTTTCTTAAATTGTTAAACATGATACTGAATTTCACTGAATTAGTACAAATGTGGACCATAGAGGATAGATCACTTATTTCTCTTCAAATTGGCAATTCTAGAATGCTATTTCCTTCTGACATAAAGGTAATACAAAGTTTTGGGAAATATCGAAAATAGGGTGGATAGTAAATCTTAACAATATTGATATATTTGGATGCCCCTGTGGATGTATTATAAACACTAAAAAAATTAGCCCCTAAAACACTTCTGTTTTCGAGAAAAATTGAATATACAAATTTACCGGTGCTCCCGGTAAATTTTGATAAATTTCAAATAGCGCCTATGGCCGTACAATGGTAACTGCGACCATGAAAATCTCAGAATATGTAGTTGTGATATATAATTTCAAAATGGAAATAGCTAATCGGTCGATTTTAATCAAAAAAACATTGTTTTATAACTTAATTAATATCTTGACCTTGAGAGGGAGCTATATGACATAAGAAGTTTATTATTTACAATTTCATAATTTTAGACTCGATTTCAACCGCAACAACGATCAATGAATATTGTAGGAACGCATACGCTTCCAATATGTTAATTTGAACCAAATTCAAGACCCCATACCAACACTTTGTAATACCTTTAAAAACCCCAATAACATGCATCTGATTAGAAAAGAAAATGCAATTTACTCAATTTTATGGGATAAATGAGTTTGTATTTTTCCCTTGCATTGGAAAGTTGGAGAAAGTGGTGCTGATTTCTGAGAATATTCATCCTTCAAACCACAATTTATATGATTGTATGCACATAATTTAAAATACTGCCAACAGCAAACACTTTTCTTGTTTTTTTTCTCCAGGATGGTTGGGGTAAGGTGATGGTGAGCTTAGATAGTGTAAATCGAAGCACACTGCCTGGTGATGGACTCTATGTAGAGGGAGATGATGCAAGTGTCTATAGCACTGATGATGGTGAGGATGAATTATAGTCATGAGATGATCCTTGCTTTTTTAATACTGAACTTATTATCTTGAGAATGACTGTTGGCTATTACTTATCAGAAAAAGTACATGTTCATGATGGAAAGGAACACCACCTGTTCTTTTAAATTTATTCTCCTATTTTCACTATTCTTTCTCTGATCTCTTAACTAGTGCTTTGTTTTTAACAAAGCAAAAGAGAATACTATCAGAAGTTTGCAAGTAAACCTACAATTGATGAAGGATCATCATGCCCCAAAGGTTTTGAGTGTTACATTACTTTGTCATCGTCTACATTTTTACTATCTTGAATGGTTGAATGAAAAGGTAATTTCAGAGTGAGTTTTGTGTTTTCTGAAGAGAAAAGGTTGCATACATGTATGATTGACATGTACAGTTTAGTTGTTAGATTAATTGTATAATAAATTCAGTTGGTTTTAAATCAAATTTGGATTTATCTTCACATTCTTCACATTGTTTTGTATTTTGTTCAGAGGGCGTAACAGAATCCGATGGCCTCTTAGATCACCCTTTGATGAACAAGAAACAGAGAACAACAATCTACTGGGTGTCTTACATGGATGGGCTTCAGAGGGTCCTGGTCTATACACAGAGCTCTAGGATAGCTAGAGCAGCAGCTCAGGTAATGATGATGGTGGTGGTGGTGGAGGTGGTGGTGATGGGGGTGGTGGTGATGGTGGTGGTGGTGATGGGGGTGGTGGTGATGGTGGTGGTGGTGATGGTGGTGGTGGTGATGGTGTTGTGTTACATGGATGGGCTACAGAGGGTCCTTGTCTATACACAGAGCTCTAGAATAGCTAGAGCAGCAGCGTAGGTAATGATTAAGATCGTGATGATGATGGTGGTGGTGGTGGTGGTGGTGGTGGTGGTGGTGGTGGTGGTGGTGGTGGTGGTGATGATGATGGTGGTGGTAGTGGTGGTGGTGCTGGTGGTGGTGATGATGGTGGTGATGGTGATGGTGGTGGTGATGATGGTGGTGGTGATGATGGTGGTGATGGTGGTGATGGTGGTGGTGATGATGGTGGTGGTGGTGGTGGTGGTGGTGGTGGTAGTGGTGGTGATGGGGATGGTTATGATGGGGAAGGGGGTAGGGAAAGGGGCTGGAATTTGGGGGTAGGGCATGGAGAGGAAGAAGAATAGCAGATGGAGGAGGATAAGGAGATATTGACAAAAGAATAGTAAAAAGTGCATCACGTTCATTTGCCCTTTACATGCTATCAGGGTACATGTTTCATTCATGTTGCCATTGGATTTATGTCCACACACACAAAACGTGCACCATCTCCATTCCATTATAATTATTCCATCAGTTTTGGCCACTACTAGGGAATTTCAAGCCAAATTTCAGCGTAGGATTTCCCTCATCTTCACATATACCCATAGCTTTCCCAAGTTAAAAGTGGTAAAAATCAATGATGTACTTAACTTTATTCCCTGTCCTCTTTACAGTCCAACGTCTCCGAGCCGGCCACCCTGGAGTTCCTAGCCTCTCTCCAAGGCATCGGCGTATCGTTGGTCAACACTGCCTATGAGGAGGTGGCCTATCTGAGTCTGTTCAGCTCCCCAGCCCGCTGGGAGGTGGAGTCTAAGGCTAACAGGTGGAAGGCACTAGGGATGGAGCTCACAGGGGTTCTAGAGAACGCCTGGAAACACGGACAGGAGGTCATTGTTGATGACAATGGAACGATACAGGTTGGTTATTCTGAGAGATTCCAGATTCATCCATTAAAGGACTGTAATTTTCATGATATATATTTTTTACTTGTGCTCCATCAATGTCGTATTATTTCATACAAAGGAAGGTGATAACATTATTGATGATGAAGCTCTGTATAATATTTATTGATACATGCACATGTTGACTTCCAACAATCCCTTGTGTGTTTAATGTGTGGCTTTGTTATTATGCATTTCAAACTCTGATTTACATTTACAAATGCAAGTCAGTGATGGTTAATGATCAAGATAAAAAACAACTTTGTTTAAAAACCAAATAATGTAATTTAAATATATTGTCTAATTTTTAAAATCTAAATTTATGTGTGGACTAAAATGTTTTCTTCTATGAAATTCATTTTGTAATATAAAATGTATGTGTGCTTGAACTTTATTTTGACTCTTTCCTTGTTCGTGTAGGCTGATCTGAGAGCACAAACCATAGCCAAGCCAGTACAGGGAGCTCTAAAGAGGATCCATAACCCAGGGTTGTGGATCCACTTCAGGAAGTCAGACCACCATCAGGGACTGCATCTCAAGATACAGAAGATACAGGTTAGTGATGGTGGTGATGATGACGATGATGGTTGTGGTGGTGATTATGATGATGATAACGATGATGGTGATGATGATGATGGGTTGGTTGTGGTGGCGATGATGATGGTGATGATGATGATGATGATGATTATGATGGTGGTAATGGTGTAAAGGATGGTTGGTGGTGATGATGATGATGATGGTGATGGTGATGATGATGATGCTGGGTTGGTGGTGGTGGTGGTGATGATGATGATGGTGATGATGATGATGATGATGATGATGATGATGATGATGATGATGATGATGATGATGATAATGATTATGCGTCGGTGGTGGTGGTGATGATGATGATGATGATGATGATGATGATGATGATGATGATGATGATGATGATGATGAAACTGATGATAGTTGTTGTGATGATGGGCTGGTGTTGTTAATGGTAATAGTGTTGGAGATGCTAGTGGTAGTGGTAGTGGTGGCCTTGATGATGTTGTTAAAATGTTTCTTGCCATGAAGCTGATGGTTAGGATTTGAAGCTATGTGGGGATTGGGGACTGGGGAAAGGGGAGCAGGAGCAGGAGGATGAGAAGAAAAAAAATGATTATGCCATTACTCTTTATTAAGTTCATCATTAATTAAGGTTATTACTGTGACGGAAATGATGCTGTTACTGAAATGAGTAGTACTACTTCTTCTACTAATGCTTCTGATGTAGATTTTGATGATCATGCTGCAGGTAAATAAAGAAGAAAGTAGCAAATATTTCAATTGAGTTCTGATACATTTATGTATTAACAGAAATCTATTGTATCCATATAGAGACCATCTAAAATGGGCTAAGATTAATTCGCACTCTTTAAGAAAAAAAGGTTTTCTCTCTTTAACACCCCTCCACCCCTTCCCACCAAATACCAAATAAGAGGCAATTTGATGGTTATATCTTATCATACTTGTTTCATTTTCAGATTGACAACCAACTGTTTGATGCCTACTTCCCCAATGTACTGCATGTCAATGCCTTGCCTAAGGATGTTCTGAAGAAGACTGGTCCCCGACCATTTGTTGAGGTGTCAATTCTCAGAAGACAGATGCCAGAGTATGGTGCAGACACTATCAAGTAAGTCTGAGAAAGGATAGATTACCAGACTTATGCCTATCTCTACTTTATATTACCATAGAAAAAATGTGGGAGGTGCATGGTGTTGAGAGTGAGACCTTCTTCTTTTAAAGAATATGAATAAATTGCATTGTTTTTTTGTTTTTGAAAATAATATACTTTATTTTTGGGGGAAAATTTGGATATTAGAGAAGATTTGCAAAGATACAGTCATGCACAATTATCAAATTTGTGACAAGGATAATCGTTCTTCTGCACAAGTATACTTGGACTACATGTAGTCCAAGTTTGAAAATTTTTGATGCCACATCATCTATTTATAATTGAATGCAATTCTATTAATGCTTTTAACATGTGCATTCAACTTCTTCTCAACTAGTTATTTTCACATCAGTGCTCTCCCAGGTGTTTCATCAATAATTCGCAAACAATCCATTTCAATTTGATTGGCTTATTGTCTACAGGTACTTCAAGGTGCTGGTGCAGGAGGCTAGCTTAAAGGTAGACAATGGTTTCATCCTGTCTGTACTAGATGTCTTCTCACACCTGCAGGAGGAACAGGATGAGGCAAGTGATAGTTAGAAAGTAACTTGTAGTCTCTACTTCAGGTTGTGTTTCAGTTGGGAATTGGAAGTTGTACTTCTAGTTGTATTTTAAGTTAGTGAAAAGTGTGATAAAGACCAGTCAGAGAAATTTCATCATATATTTTTGTTTAATGAATAATTTTCTCAAACTGTATTAAGCCTAGGGGAATATGGAAGTGTTATTTTTTGTTTGTTTGTTTTTTGCCAGGGGGGGGGGGGGTTGGAGATAAAGACTTGATAAATCATGAACTTTAGTCAAATTCCATTGATTCTGTATTACTTATGTATCATTCTGAATTTACAATACGTTCATTAAACAGTGTGTTGCATGTAAAATATAGATATACAGCACTACAGTATAATCATAATCGAATTGAATTACTACGGACTTTCACCAAGTGATGGTTGTACTGCTGCTTCTGATAATGATAATGGTGTTGAGAATAATGATGACGGTGATAATGTTGCTGATGATCATCATAAAAGTATGAAATGGACTTGATATATGATTTTCTGTACTCAAGATATTTAAAATTATTTGGGTTTTACTTGTTTCTGTAGGTGCTGTCGTTGCGTGCGGATCTGAACTACATACAGAGTTCACTCAAGGAGACGTCTAACACCATATCAAGCAGTACAGCTAACCCAATCTTCTTTGAGTTCTTCCATCTGTCTCCACTCAAGGTAGGAAAAAAAGATGATGGGCCATTCCATGTTTTCTGGCATGATACATGCACATGCGTCAGAAATAGTATTGTCATGATACCAGAAGGAAAAGTGGAAAGAAACTTGTTGAATATTTTGCTGTATTGTTCTATCAGGATATACTGTGTGCTGGTACTGCTGGATAATTTAAAAATGTACACTGTACCATACATTATTTCTGATGAATTGTATAATGTATAATTGTGTAGATTGCCAAGTTTAGGCTATCATTAGAATGCCATATGTAAAGAGAGAATTTCTCTAGAGTTAAAATCACGTGGAGTCACTCTAATCTGAACCCATTGAAATAGTAAGTTTGAAATTATTCATGATGAAACCCATAGAAATTGCCTTTTGAATCAATATTTATCTGTCACTGGAGGACTAGTATTTTGTCCTTCATCAATAGTGAACATACCGATACCTGACATCAAGCCTTCTTTTTCATTAAAAGTAACAAACCTTTCTGTTCATGTACCTTGGATGTGCAGTACATACAGTAGTCTTTACTTTACTCATAACATTTGTACTTTTTACCCTTAGTTCATTGTGAGTCTATCACTCAGCGGTGAGCCACACATAACCAGTGATAAGCCTGGATCCTTCCAACGTGATCTAGGGCGTGTCCTTCTAGAGAGCATCGGCTCAACTCTCACAGAGGTCACGGAGGTAGAGCTCAAGTAAGTCACCAGGGGGGTGTTTTACAAAACTTGTCATCAGTGACAAATGACAGTTTTTGTTATAAGCTACTGAAATCCTTGCTTCTGATTGGTTATCAGCAGATTTGTCACTGATTTTTGTCATTTGTCAGTGATAAAAGGCTTTGTGAAACGGGTCCTAGGAAACACTTTCCGTACCTTAGTTCGCAAGTCCCCAAAATGTACCTTTATAGTTGTTTACTTAGGACTTACATGTATTAGGACATCACCTTTAGTGGTATTTGTATCATCAAATGATTAAGAATGTTTGAATTGCACATGAATATGTCTTTAAGTGCTTGAAAAGTGTCCTGCAAAATAGTTTTCAGTGAATATACACATATTAAAAGATAACTGTATCCTTCATTGCTTTTTTTCCTTCTAATCGCATGTATTCACAGCAAGAGTTCAAAATGTGACTGATTATTAGCACATAAAGCATTGCCATCAGTGAATTTTTTTCCTTTATCTTCTTACTATTCATAACAATTTATATTGCATCATACAGTATCTTCAATTACTTAAATTTTACTCAACATGTACATGTATGAATGTTTATATTTTACATTACATCTACATGTTTAATTTCTCGATGATTAACCTTTCAGACTGGGTTACTTTGAGAGAAGGAATGCCCTGTTGACGACGGCCCAACTAACATCTGAGGTTCAGGCTCACTACATCTCACAGGGGATCAAGCAAGCCTATGTGTTCATTCTAGGATTGGATGTGCTAGGGAATCCCTATGGGTTGTACAGAGATGTGAAGGAGGGCATCAGTGATCTCTTCTATGAACCTTATCTGGTAAGAAGGAGAAGGATGGTGGTGGTGGTGGTGGTGGTGGTGATGATGATGATGATGATGATGATGATGATGATGATGATAATAATGATAATGATGATGATGATTGATGACGATGGTGATGATGATGATGATGATGATGATGATGATGATGATGATGATGATGATGATGATGATGATGATGATGATGATGATGATGATGATGATGATGATGATGATTGATGATGATGATGATGATGACGATGGTGATGATGATGATGATGATGGTAATGATGATGAAGATGATGATGATGATGATGATGATGGTGTTGATGATGATGATGATGATGATGATGGTGTTGTTGATGATGATGATGATGATGGTGTTGATGATGATGATGATGGTGTTGATGATGATGATGATGATGATGATGGTGTTGATGATGATGATGATGATGGTGTTGATGATGATGGTGTTGATGATGATGATGATGGTGATGGTGATGATGATGATGATGATGGTGTTGATGATGATGATGATGATGATGATGATGATGTTGATCAAAGGATCAAGCAAGCCTATGTGTTCATTCTAGGATTGGATGTGCTAGGGAATCCCTATGGGTTGTACAGAGATGTGAAGGAGGGCATCAGTGATCTCTTCTATGAACCTTATCTGGTAAGAAGGAGAAGGATGGTGGTGGTGGTGGTGGTGGTGGTGATGATGATGATGATGATGATGATGATGATGATGATGATGATGATGATAATAATGATAATGATGATGATTGATGACGATGGTGATGATGATGATGATGATGATGATGATGATGATGATGATGATGATGATGATGATGATGATGATGATTGATGATGATGATGATGATGACGATGGTGATGATGATGATGATGATGGTAATGATGATGAAGATGATGATGATGATGATGATGATGGTGTTGATGATGATGATGATGATGATGGTGTTGTTGATGATGATGATGATGATGGTGTTGATGATGATGATGATGGTGTTGATGATGATGATGATGATGATGGTGTTGATGATGATGATGATGATGATGGTGTTGATGATGATGGTGTTGATGATGATGATGATGATGATGATGATGATGGTGTTGATGATGATGATGATGATGATGATGATGATCAAAGGATCAAGCAAGCCTATGTGTTCATTCTAGGATTGGATGTGCTAGGGAATCCCTATGGGTTGTACAGAGATGTGAAGGAGGGCATCAGTGATCTCTTCTATGAACCTTATCTGGTAAGAAGGAGAAGGATGGTGGTGGTGGTGGTGGTGATGATGATGATGATGGTGTTGATGATGATGATGATGATGATGATGATGTTGATCAAAGGATCAAGCAAGCATATGTGTTCATTCTAGGGTTAGATGTGCTAGGGAATCCCTATAGGTTGTATAGAGATGTGAAGGAGGGCATCAGTGATCTCTTCTATGAACCATATCTGGTAAGAAGGAGGAGGATGGTGATGGGGGTGGTCATGATGGTGTTGATGATAGTAATGATGGTGTGGGTTGTGTTGATGATGTTGATTCTGGTAGTGACGGTGACAATGGTGTTATCAAGATTTCTTATGATGATTATGACGATATTGATTATGCTCAGTGATTATGATGTGGATGGTGATGTGACGATGATGACAGTCACAGTGATGACGATGATGACAGTCACAGTGATGAGGATGACGGTGACTACGATACATATTGCGCTTCCTGCGTTAGTATCAGTTAAAAATATATGCAGTCTGATGTGGTCAACCATTTCGATGTTGCTCAGTAGAAGAGTGTAATGATATTCAGGTTGTTAATGATATTAAGATTGTTAGTCTCTACGATTTGTGAGCCATGTTGCGAACAAGACATTATATATGATGCAACTAATAATATTTCTCTGTATTTTCCTCCTAGGGTCTAATCCAAGGACCAGGGGAGTTTGCGGAGGGTCTGGCCAAGGGTGTGCAAAGTCTACTTGGACATACAATAGGTAATATATTAACCTCTCCAAATAATTATCCTAACTAATTTATCTCTCTCTCTCTCTTTCTCAACTGTCACTCGTCTTTTTGTGTGTGCAAAGCAAGTTATACTCCTTTTTATCCCTCTGTCAGCCCAACCTTTTAGTTAAAATATGAATTCAATTCAAATGATTTTATTTCTCATGCGAAACATAATTCAAAGAATAAGTGAATTACAAAAATATACAATGAAAACGATAAACAAATTATAATAGCACAAGAAAAGAGGAACTAACTAGAAACAGAGTATTAGTTCCTCATCTGTCTGTATTCTTTCTTTTTATTTGTCATCTTCTTTGTGATTCAGACATTTGCTTCTTGTCTTTCTTCAACTTCTTCAAGTGCCTTGTCAGGGCCTGATACTGGTGCCCATGCCTTTGAAACCAGCCTGATCTTTGTCATGTATAAACTGGGTGCTGCACTTTGCTCACAGGTGACCCAGGGTGACCCAGGGGTGCAGTTTAACGTCTTACCCAGGACGTTGTTCCTTTTACCAGTGTTAAATCCTCAGTTTTGGAAGTCCAGGGGATGTTTCACAAAGATCCTAAGTTCGACTTAACAATTATGAGAAGCCATTTAATAGCATTTATGAAATTTTCTTGTAAAAGTTTTTTTAAAGGCATAAAATGTTGATTCAAATCATTCATATTCTCTATTATGAAGAAAATTTCATGTTCTTGATGTGGAATTTATAAAAAGTGTAAAATACTTGATTTTTCACTTTTTAATATATTTTATTTTAAGGCTACAATTGCTCTCCATAATGGTCCAACTTAGAGTTAAGTTTGACTTAGGATCTTTGTGAACCCCCCCCCCCCCCCCAGATATATTAGTACAAACTATCATCACTATATTTGTATTCCTCTCACTCTCTCTCTCTTTCAGGTGGAGTAGCAGATGCATTTGGAGGTGTATCCGGCACCCTGGGCAAGGCCCTCTCTGTTCTCTCTTTCGATGAGGACTACCAGAAGGTCAGTCTCAAAGACACTTGTCGTATTACAGATATAGTTATAATGCATCCTTATATTAATTCATTACTGGTTTTGTGATGCAAAGCGGGCCTCATATAGATTATAAATACACATGGGCCCTGTTGCACAAAACTTGATGGTACCATTGATGGTAACTTTGCCATCAATGGTAAGTACCATGGAAATCTTGACTGTGATTGGCTGTTGAGCCATGTTACCATGGTAGTTGCCATTGATGGCAAAGTTACCTTTAATGGTAAATTTTATGCAACGGGCCCAGTTCATGAAATCAGTGGGAAATCTTTTTATGAAGAATTCAAACCCACAAAATTAGGAGATGAACCAAAAAAAGAACAAGTCTGTATGTTAAAGTTGTATTAAAGATATGCATGCACATACATGTAGTCTTATCGTTCTTAAAGCCTCACTGTCCTACTTGTAGCTACTTGCTCCCTCTATATAGAAAATTTCCACAATCGGTGCCTGTTTGTCCCCCATGATCCTCTTTTTCTTATGTTAGTTGAGAGCTGAGTTAATGAGATAGCCACCTGTCAGTGACCTCGCTGTGTGGTCTAATCCCTTCTGGCCAAGTAGTATTGACAGTCTTTAAGTAAAATGCATGTGTACTGTAGATGTTATTTACTTTTTTATGCCTCCGCCACCGAAGGTGGTGCCGGAGGCATTATGTTTTCGGGTTGTCCACCCGTACGTCCGTCCCGTTTAACCGTTATCACAATATCTCAAGAACCATTTAAGATTTAAACTTAAGACTCGGGAATAGTATTTATTACCATAGGAAGACGATCTGATTAGATTTTGGAGTACGTAGGTCAAAGGTCATAGGTCACAGAGGTCAACTTATGAAATTCCTTGTATTGAGTTTGTTAGCGCGATATCTCAAGAACCATTTGAGATTTAAACTTCAAACTTAAGGATAGTATGTATCACCATAGGAAGACGATCTGATTAGATTTTGGAGCACGTATGTCAAAGGTCAAGGGTCACAGAGGTCAACTTATGAAATTCCATACATTGAGATTGTTCTCACGATATCTCAAGAACCACTGGAGATTTAAACTCCAAACTTGTTTAATTTTTGAATAGGCTAGTTTCCCCACAATGAATGTACCTACATGCAATTAAATGGATTCTGACCCCCATATCCCTCTGAAAGGGGCGTAGGGGCAAATATTGTGATAATTTGAATAAACACCAATTTCAGGCCGAAATGGTAAGGGGTGGTTCAGCATTTTGGAGGAAAATATTATATTTTTTGAATAGGCTAGTTTCCCCACAATGATTGTACATACATGCCATTAAATGGATCCTGACCCCCATATCCCTTTGTAAGGGGCGTAGGGCCAAATATTGTTAAAATTTGAATTATCACATTTTTAGGGCCGAAATGGTAAGGGCCGGGGTGGTTCAGCATTTTGGAGGAAAAAATTATATTTTTTGTTTAGGCTAGTTTCCCCACAATGAATGTCCATACATGCCATTAGATGGATCCTGACCCCCATATCCCTTTGAAAGGGGCGTAGGGGCAAATATTGTAAAAATTTGAATTATCACAACTTTCGTGCCGAAATTGTAAGGGCCGGGGTGGTTCAGCATTTTGGAGGAAAATATTTTTTTTTTTTAATAGGCTAGTTTCCCCACAATGAATGTACCTACATGCAATTAAATAGATTCTGACCCCCATATCCCTTTGAAAGGGGCGTAGTGGCAAATATTGTAAAAATTTGAATTATCACATTTTTCGGGCCGAAATTGGAAGGGCCGGGGTGGTTCAGCATTTTGGAGGAAATTTTTTTTTTTTTTGAATAGGCTACTTTCCCCACAATGAATGTACATATATGCCATTAGATGGATCCTGACCCCCATATCCCTTTGAAAGGGGAGTAGGGGCAAATATTGTAAAAATTTGAATTATCACAACTTTCGGGCCGAAATTGTAAGGGCCGAGGTGGTTTAGCATTTTGGAGGAAAATTTTTTTTTTTTTAATAGGCTAGTTTCCCCACAATGAATGTACCTACATGCAATTAAATAGATTCTGACCCCCATATCCCTTTGAAAGGGGCGTAGTGGCAAATATTTTAAAAATTTGAATTATCACAACTTTTGGGTCGAAATTGTAAGGGCCGGGGTGGTTCAGCATTTTGGAGGAAAATATTATATTTTTTGAATAGGCTAGTTTCCCCACAATGAATGTACATACATGTCATTAGGTGGATCCTGACCCCCATATCCCTTTGAAAGGGGCGTAGGGGCAAATATTGTGATAATTTGAATAAACACCAATTTCAGGCTGAAATGGTAAGGGCCGGGGTGGTTCAGCATTTTGAAGGAAAATATTATATTTTTTGAATAGGCTAGTTTCCCCACAATGAATGTACATACATGCCATTAAATGGATCCTGACCCCCATATCCCTTTGAAAGGGGCGTAGTGGCAAATATTTTAAAAATTTGAATTATCACAACTTTCGGGTCGAAATTGTAAGGGCCGGGGTGGTAAAGCATTTTGAAGGAAAAAATTATATTTTTTGATAAGGCTAGTTTCCCCACATTGAATGTACATACATGCCATTAGATGGATCCTGACCCCCATATCCCTTTGAAAGGGGCGTAGGGGCAAATATTGTGATAATTTGAATAAACACCAATTTCAGGCCGAAATGGTAAGGGCCGGGGTGGTTCAGCATTTTGGAGGAAAATATTATATTTTTTTAATAGGCTAGTTTCCCCACAATGAATGTACCTACATGCAATTAAATAGATTCTGACCCCCATATCCCTTTGAAAGGGGCGTAGTGGCAAATATTTTAAAAATTTGAATTATCACAACTTTCGGGTCGAAATTGTAAGGGCCGGGGTGGTTCAGCATTTTGGAGGAAAATATTATATTTTTTGAATAGGCTAGTTTCCCCACAATGAATGTACATACATGTCATTAGGTGGATCCTGACCCCCATATCCCTTTGAAAGGGGCGTAGGGGCAAATATTGTGATAATTTGAATAAACACCAATTTCAGGCTGAAATGGTAAGGGCCGGGGTGGTTCAGCATTTTGAAGGAAAATATTATATTTTTTGAATAGGCTAGTTTCCCCACAATGAATGTACATACATGCCATTAAATGGATCCTGACCCCCATATCCCTTTGAAAGGGGCGTAGTGGCAAATATTTTAAAAATTTGAATTATCACAACTTTCGGGTCGAAATTGTAAGGGCCGGGGTGGTAAAGCATTTTGAAGGAAAAAATTATATTTTTTGATAAGGCTAGTTTCCCCACATTGAATGTACATACATGCCATTAGATGGATCCTGACCCCCATATCCCTTTGAAAGGGGCGTAGGGGCAAATATTGTGATAATTTGAATAAACACCAATTTCAGGCCGAAATGGTAAGGGCCGGGGTGGTTCAGCATTTTGGAGGAAAATATTATATTTTTTTAATAGGCTAGTTTCCCCACAATGAATGTACCTACATGCAATTAAATAGATTCTGACCCCCATATCCCTTTGAAAGGGGCGTAGTGGCAAATATTTTAAAAATTTGAATTATCACAACTTTCGGGCGAAATTGTAAGGGCCGGGGTGGTTCAGCATTTTGGAGGAAAATATTATATTTTTTGAATAGGCTAGTTTCCCCACAATGAATGTACATACATGCCATTAGGTGGATCCTGACCCCCATATCCCTTTGAAAGGGGCGTAGGGGCAAATATTGTGATAATTTGAATAAACACCAATTTCAGGCTGAAATGGTAAGGGCCGGGGTGGTTCAGCATTTTGAAGGAAAATATTTTATTTTTTGAATAGGCTAGTTTCCCCACAATGAATGTACATACATGCCATTAAATGGATCCTGACCCCCATATCCCTTTGAAAGGGGCGTAGTGGCAAATATTTTAAAAATTTGAATTATCACAACTTTCGGGTCGAAATTGTAAGGGCCGGGGTGGTAAAGCATTTTGGAGGAAAAAATTATATTTTTTGTTTAGGCTAGTTTCCCACAATGAATGTACCTACATGCCTTTAGATGGATCCTGACCCCCATATCCCTTTGAAAGGGGCGTAGGGGCAAATATTGTGATAATTTGAATGAACACCAATTTCAGGCCGAAATTGGAAGGGCCGGGGTGGTTCAGCATTTTGGAGGAAAATAATATATTTTTTTAATAGGCTAGTTTCCCCACAATGAATGTACCTACATGCCATTAGATGGATCCTGATCCCCATATCCCTTTGAAAGGGGCGTAGGGGCAAATATTGTAAAAATTTGAATTATCACAACTTTCGTGCCGAAATTGTAAGGGCCGGGGTGGTTCAGCATTTTGGAGGAAAATATTTTTTTTTTTTATAGGCTAGTTTCCCCACAATGAATGTACCTACATGCAATTAAATAGATTCTGACCCCCATATCCCTTTGAAAGGGGCGTAGTGGCAAATATTGTAAAAATTTGAATTATCACATTTTTCGGGCCGAAATTGGAAGGGCCGGGGTGGTTCAGCATTTTGGAGGAAAATTTTTTTTTTTTTGAATAGGCTACTTTCCCCACAATGAATGTACATATATGCCATTAGATGGATCCTGACCCCCATATCCCTTTGAAAGGGGAGTAGGGGCAAATATTGTAAAAATTTGAATTATCACAACTTTCGGGCCGAAATTGTAAGGGCCGGGGTGGTTTAGCATTTTGGAGGAAAATTTTTTTTTTTTTTAATAGGCTAGTTTCCCCACAATGAATGTACCTACATGCAATTAAATAGATTCTGACCCCCATATCCCTTTGAAAGGGGCGTAGTGGCAAATATTTTAAAAATTTGAATTATCACAACTTTTGGGTCGAAATTGTAAGGGCCGGGGTGGTTCAGCATTTTGGAGGAAAATATTATATTTTTTGAATAGGCTAGTTTCCCCACAATGAATGTACATACATGTCATTAGGTGGATCCTGACCCCCATATCCCTTTGAAAGGGGCGTAGGGGCAAATATTGTGATAATTTGAATAAACACCAATTTCAGGCTGAAATGGTAAGGGCCGGGGTGGTTCAGCATTTTGAAGGAAAATATTATATTTTTTGAATAGGCTAGTTTCCCCACAATGAA